ATTTATCTAGACAAGGGGTGTAAAAATGCAGGTGCATTTCAACACATTCCTCAAATTCCAAGCTAAAGAAAATTTATGAATGAGAAAAAAAAATCCAATTAAAGTTTTATTTCTTCTATCAAATGGAGGGTACATGAGCAGCTTAATAAAAAATGCATCGCTGATAAACACATGTAAAACTTTAATTGAACTTTATTTACTTCAAAAGTTCCTCAAATAAGATATTAAAACTGTTACACAAACTCAATTTTTTTCCATCCTTATTCACATTACTCCTTTAAGTCAAAAGCAATTTGAATGCGTAAGAGATGTATAATATGTCAATGCATGCGCGCTAGAAAGAGATTGAAGTGTAAGAATATTACAAGAAGATTGTATACAGCATAGAAGAGAAAGAAAATTTGCATGCCCACAAAGTTTTCTATCAAGAAGCAAGCAGCAGATCCATGATAAATGCGATTTGACAAGAGATTTCAAAAATAATATAAAATAGACAACGAATTTTTCTCATTTATATTCTCGCCAAAAAATAATTACATTTCGAATAAATTTTTAGGTTCCTTGAAGAGTGATTTGACACAAACTGGAACATCATAAAATATGCTAAACAAAGTTATGAACATGCAGATTTAAGAATAAATTGAGTAAATGTCGATCATATTGTAATTTCATAAAGTTTTTGGCATTATTTTGAAGAAATCTGTTTCTTCGTTGTTCATTTTGTCAGTTTTGTATATTTTTCGGATGTTTGATAGACAGTGCAAGATTAAAGACTTCCAAAACCTTGATTGAGTAAAGTTCTAGGTTTAATAGGTCAATATTTGAGAAATGAACAAATTGTGAATTTTGGTGGTTTTGTCAATTTAATCAGTTTGAACTAGTTCTGGATTTATCAATTGCGTGTGATATGAAAAATATGAAATGAAAAAATCGTGAAAATCCCCCCCTTCATTCTGAATTTTCTATATAAAATTTGTTTGACCCCCCCCCCCCCCCCCCCTCTTCAAATTCATGGCTACGCACCTGGGAAAAAACATAAGCAAACAGCTAAATTTGATCAAAAATTGCGAAAAACTATAATTAAATTGTTTATAGAAAAAGATTTGAAATGAAGGACCTGATCTATCCAATAGTAAGAATATATTTACATTTCATGTTAAACATCTTCTCTCAGAAAGCTGTTCATCAAAAATCAACAAATAACTTTCACACTTGCTTCTTAACAAGTTAGCAAAATATTTTCACTGACTTCTGACTGTACAGCTATATCGGGCTTTATCTATTGTACCCAAGAAACGCCCTCAGCGTGCTTCAGATATTTCAGTCTCCGGGAAATGTTCCCTTCACAATTGCATTACTTAAAACCTTCTTCATATTTTTATTTTGTGAATAAATTTATATGATTTTATTATTTAGAAAAAAATTTCCCTTCACTCCTTGTTGTGCTGCTTGCTTCTTTCATTTTTTTCCCTTTTTTTAAACACAAATTTAATTTGAAGATTTTTCTTTTTCGGTGCCGTCGATGGAGAAAAAGAGAAGGAAAACTCAATTTAAATAAGGAACAAAATATCAAATTTTTAATTTAAGCATGCAACAAACTAAGCTCCTTTAAAGAGTCTCTTTTCCACTTTAAAATGCTGTTCTTATTATGTGGCATTTCTTTTTTGATCGATTTAGACATTGTTGGGGATGCGGCAAGAGACAAGATACTAATTCAGGGGAGGAAGCTTGATGAAAATTCAATTCTTGAAATGGGACTGAAAGCCAATTGAAAGCAAAAGTTTGAAATCAAATCGGTACAAATTTCTACAGATTTTTTTAAAACCACACAAATGTTTTAAAAATTCAAATTTATAACGTTTTTTTTGTTCTCAAAATCGATTGAAACAGAAGATTAAGGCTGATTAAGATACTCAAAGATCTTGAAATAATCATTCAATAATTAATCAATAATTAAAGACAATAACAATCGATTCCCATCCTACATCCCTGCCTCAAAAAGAGCACATTGTTATAGTGCTAGAAAAAATAAACTGTGACATAAATTAGATTCTAAGTGAATGTCATGCTTAAATAATTACATCCATATGAACTTCAGAGCTAGTTGAGTGAAATGAAATTTTGTACATTTCTACGTAAAAGCAGCTTTTCTTCTTCCTGCTGTTGTTGTCATGGCGTGGTCGTGTACTGCTTTAACTTGTTTTTCATATTACTTCATTCCTTAGAATCGCAACGGGATATAACTCAATTTATTTTTATCCTAATATGTGTATTGTTTTGATGCTAAGAGCACATTGTGGATGATTATTATTATTTAGTTACCGACTTACTTAAGAATTACAACTTTAAATGGGATACGAAATGAAAATAAAGAGTGAGAGAGTAAGAGATGTCGTGTAAATCCATTCTCGCCTTAACCATTTCCATGAGATGAAACATTAATTTTTAAATGCATACTGTTTTAATTTAATTATTTTAAGCACTGCTGACTATCCGACACTCGTCCGACTTATTTCCACAACATTACATTAATTTCTTTATGTAGAATATAATTATCAAGGATTTTTTTACACTGAAAAGTTTAGATTCTAAGGGTTCTTGTCTATACTTTCATGTGCTGTGCTTGAGTTGACATTTTTGCAGCAAATCTCCAGAAATTTTTGTAAATTTTATGTTCAAGGGTTAAAATTTGAATTTCAAAACCATACAGCAGACAAAAAATAGTCTAAAGCCTTACAAATGTTTCTAAAATTTGAATTTGAAACGGTTTTTGTTCTAAACTTTAAAAATTAATTCATACCATGAATCTACATCAAGAACCCCTAAAAAACAACAAACATCACATTCATCGGATTGGTATTTCACCATGATTTACTCATGCCTTTTATTGACATTTTGGCGACACAATTATTATAAAATTTCGTATTACATCACAATTGCCCACTCATATACATCCTCGTCTTCTAATTTTACATTTTTTTCGGATAAAAAAAAGTTAAACTTGCGACAGTTAATTACTACAATGTATATTAATTTATTACTGTTGGGTGGCAAATGAAGTGATAAGAATAATAAGAGGTCTAGAAGAATTTTGTCGCCATACGAAAAAAATGGGCGTTACAAAGTGATAGAGAAGAAGCAGCAAGCAGATGCTGTGACGTTAATTCCTATCGTTATCAAATGAGTTTGAATTTAAATTCTCGAAACAGCATCAGGTGCTTGAATGCTTAACGATTCAATGACTACAAATTGGAAAATAAATTAAATGATTGTAAAATTGATTCACACATTTTTTTGTTGTCATTGAAAAGTCTAGATTGAGTTGAATTTTGTAAAATTGTCACTTTTACAATGTATTTAAAGTGAGTCAGGCAAATTTAGATGTAAATCGGTTGAATCCCTGCTTGTGTCGATTAATTGTAATACTTAGTAAATTTTTGATCATGTCTGATTTGAAATAGTTTGAAATTTGGTTATTTTGCGTCCTTCGATCGTATAATTATTGAATGATATTGAAGAAAGCAGCAGGAAGCAGATGAGTTTTAAAATTTAACCTTTCTGCACTCTTGTGTCTGTTTTCCTTATTGTCTGTTTTACTAAAGTAGATTGTCCTTGATTTCGGATTGTTTTTGTTTTTTTGGATTAACTTCAAGAGTTTAAGATTTAATTCGTAATCTAGGCAGAGAACTTCTTCAATTTATTTAAACTTTTAATTTTTGTAATTCCACAAGTAAATAATCAATACTTTTTAATAATTGTCAAAAGTTCAAAGTATAACGAATTCTTATGCCTAGTCTACTCTTTATCAACCTTCCAAACAAAGTTTTATAAACCAAAGTAGAACAAACTTTAAATGTTGAAAAATGAATTCAATTCAATTTTTACAAAATCTAAACCTCTAAATCAACTTTTCATCAAACCAGAAGCTGATAAAAAGCAAGCTTAGTATGTGTATTTGACCACAAAATCATTTAAAGATATGAGTTTATCTATAAACAGAGATAGTTTTAGAATTTGACGAATCATCATTTTCAGAATTGGATTTCATCCAAAAATCATAAAATTCAATCAAAACTTAAATCCTTCACAGCAGTAGGGTTTTTTCAGCTTAACCTTCAATTATGAAGGCCTTTTTAAATTTCAAAATTTCAATTCTTTCCTTTAATTCCATGTCCTCCTAAAAAGAATCTTCAGAATTGCTTAATTTAATTGAATAATCCAGTTTAAATTCATTTATGTAGTAACATTAAAGATTTATTAATTTCCTTATCTTATGAATGAAATATAATTTTCTATTCAACAAAATATCCTTAAAATAAATTAGACATATTTTTTTTCTTACTTCTTCTTCCTTTAAAGGTCTTGTGAATGGAAGATTTCTAATTAAAAAATATTTTACATATTCGTGATTCAGATATTCATGATTTCACGTGTTCACGTTTTTTTTTTTCGATGACGAAAATATATGTTGTGTGATATGGCTGTGATTTTTTTTATGTAACTTTGAGTTTGATATTTTGTGATTTTGACAGAAGCCTGAGATTGAATGTTTTATTCCTCATTTTTATATGTTTTGAGAGATGTATTTGCTTCTAGTTCCACGATTGCGATGATAATGTCATGGATGTTGGTGGTTCATTCAATGCGCTGTTTAGCTATTAATCGATATAGAAAAGATATTAGTTGATAAGAATAGATGCAGCATAACAACATGTATGATTTGACATGTAAGATGTTTTAAAAATAATTTTGTTGAATGAATCCATAAGATAGGTAGGATGTTGTCTTTTTTTGAGCTTAAATGTTGCAAAAATAATTATTAATTTTTTTTTTGTTAAGACATGTGACTTGTGAGTAGATCCGAAAAATCGAAGATTGTTAGACACTTAAAAAAGACAATAAGAATTGTCGAGGAAAGAATAAGAACAAGAATAAATAATAAATGTTATTTAATTGTCTCTTAATATCATGCAATGATAATCATGATTGAGATGCTTTTTTTGATTCCAAATCAATTAATTATAATTTATTCTCGTTCTCTTTGTTGCTTAGCAGTAATTTTTCTTGGTGTAAGACCGTAAGTGTTCTTTGAGAGTGGACTGTAGTGGTAGTTTGAGTCTCTGATGCGATCAGCAACTGGTCCTCTGCTTGCGAATGTGTATGTTGCTGGCTTCTTCTCATGAGCAACCATATCAATCTTTCCTGATAATCCTCCCAAGTATGAGTTAAGGAACTGAGCTTTCTTTCCGATTGGTTCGTTGAATCCAACAACCATTTCAAGGTAGTCACGGAACATTGTTGAAGGCATCTTGCTGGAATAAAATAAATTTTTTAAACGAATTACTAGGGTTGTCTTAAGTTTGAATATATAAGGGGGTCCTTTTTGATATAGCTAAGGGGGTCCTATGTTTGAATAAAAAGTTGATTTAGATAAAATCTACTTTAACTGCTTAAATTTCGGGATTTTTTTTTCTTTTTCAAAATTTAAATAAAATTTGATTTTGTTCAAACTAAGGACCCGCAAATTAATTCTCAATATTTTTTCTTGAGGTGTAAATCTCTTCCTCGGTTCTTTTTATGCGAGAGGAATGTCTCATAAATATTTCAGACTTGAAATAAATTTTATATCTTGTAAATTCCATCGTGATGAGATTCTCACTACTACTTCTTGTTATTCTTGTTTTTATCACAACTTACAATTATTGATTTATCGATTAAGTTAATTTATTCTCAAATTAATTTCCTTTTCAGTGGAGCTGTTTACTCGTTACTTGTTGGAGTGAGACTGAGACAATTGGACTTTTTATATATGCATTTTAAAGCGAAAAAACGTCAAATTTGCTAAGTACTATTTTTAAACCCTTTTTATAATTATAGAAGAAGAAAAGAAAAAAAAGAAAAATTATTACTCTCGATTTTCTCACATATTGTACAGAAAATAAAGTTTGGCAGTTGATGAATATTGTTTTATGTAAATGATTAAGCGCTTTTCAATAGATCCAGAAATAGATTTTTTTAATAATACTTTTCTGATATTATGAAATTAATTTTCGACTAACCTTTTTGTCTACTAAGTCATTGACAAGGTGATAAATTGAGTTGATTGCCAAAATTCCACGAAATTCTAATATTTTTAATTCTTATAAGGCCGTTCATAAATGACTTTTAACATTTGAGTGGAGAGGGTCTGAAGTTTTGTGACTTTTCAAAAAATATAAATTTTTCTTCATTCAAGCTTTTTTACAACGGGGGTCTAAAAATCTAGTTTTTTAATGTTCGTCATTTATAAACATTTATGAATAAAAAATTTAAAATTTTTTTTTGTATTGGACATTTTTCATACAAAGAAAATAAATCGATTTGAGTAGATTCAATTTGAATAGGATTTTTCTGGAACAAAACACCTACTCAAATCGAGGACCCCCAGCAATGATCCGACCTATAGATAATGATTAGTAACAAAATTTCTAATTTTAAATTAGTTTATAAACTCTACAAATGTTTGGAAAACCATACAAATATCAAATCATTGAGAATTTGTAGGCTTTTGAATCAACGCTGCTTAATTTTTTTCAAAAAAGTAAGATTTTAAATTTAAATGAATTTGAAAACCATACAAATGTTTGGAATTAATGGAGAATTTGTAAGGTTTTATCCAAGTTTTTTCATTTGAACAATTGTCTTTAAACTCAACTTTTAAATTTTTTGAAGATTAAAAATTAGAGTTTCATACTTATTCATTCATATGATCTATAAGTTCATTAAACAATCATAGAAAATATCGATTTTTTTTAAATTAAAGCAAAAACAGCAAAGCAAATCATGTCACATATCCATCATATTTCCTTCAAAAAATAGCTAACAGAAAACAGCAAGAGCTTAGAATTCAAAGAGTAGAAAATATCTCAGAGCAGCATAAAGCTAAATAGATGAAGAAAACTACGCAAAAAGTCGCAGAACTTAAAGAAAAGTTCTTAAGAAACAAATCTCTTAATTATGTCTATAAACACCAATAAAAGTCATTAAATATTAATTTAGCAAATAGAACTCTAAATATATTAATCGACATTTCACTATGTAGACGTAGAAAGGTTCTATTAGAGGAATAACTTAATCGACAAGTAGCAAAGTCAAAGATTGAATAAAAATAAATCGTACGAAAACAAAAGTTTTTTTTCTTTCTTTTTTTACAATCACTTCACGAGAAGGAGCAATGGTCAAGTCAGATATACAAATAGAAAAGAGAGGAAAACAATTTTAATGAATGACATTAAAAATAGAATATATTCATTAGAGTCGAGTCAGTCATTCTCGCAAGTTTATCATTGTTTTAGAAGATTCTTTGAGATGGTGCCAAATGTTCTACATTCAGATGGATGGAGGCAAGCGGGGATAGTGAAAGGCAAAAAGTTTGCAACAACCACGTGTTGATTCATTATTTATACAATTTAAGACTTGTTTATTTATATCCATTTAGATTCTCGTACATGGAATTATTTAAAATAAAGCATTCTTATATATTTCAATTTATAACATTGGAAAAAAAAATCTCCACGACTCAATGCTGGAAAATGGTGCTCTCACTCTCATTTCCCACTCTTCGGAAATTCAATTAACGTCATGCTTGCAGGTAAATCACCAGAAGACATTTTCGCACCGTTTTTCATGTTTTCTAGCATTAAACATGATTTCAATGTTGCTATTTGGATCAAAAAAATTTTAATTGCTGTTTAATTGTCAGCGGTTTTTTAACATTTGAATTTTGTTTAATTGTTAACGGTTTTAAATATTTGAATTAAATTCATTTAATTTTCTATGGACACGACATTCTTAATAACTGTTTTTCAAGCAAATCTCTTTCAAATTTTGTCTCAGTATGATTCAAATTTAAGGATCTATAATAATGCTCTTGAATATTTAACGAAAAGCTTTCAATTGACAGAAAATTTGACAATTCCAAACATCCTAATTGCGCTCAGATCATCCCAAAAATATTCAAATCTAAAAATACCGTTAAAATTCACAAATCATTAAATAATAATCTATCCATAAATATTAATCAGTGAATGCTCACTTAAAAATTCAGCACAGGTATCTGAAAAGAGATAATCTTTTTCCACAGAATTACCAATTTCAATCGCATATTTTTATTTTATTTATTTACTTGTTATTATTTTCATTATCAAGCCTCCAGTACTGAACCATTTTTACTTGTCAACATTTTAATCTTTCGTTCACTCTCACCTTGCTTGCTGTGTGAAGCGTACGTGATGTATTTTTCCCTGTCGATTATTGTAAATGAGATTTAAGTTGAAAAACAGAAAATGGAATTGTTTGGGATTTTGCGACAGAGATTTTTTTTGTTGATTTTTCAGCATCAACCTTTAAATATAAGAACAATGAAAAATTATTTTTAAAATAAAGTGCGGAAGGAATGCATGAAGAAGAGGCAATAATCGGATAAATGCAATCAAACAATGTTCAATGGCTATTTAAATGATAAGTTTTACATAAAAAATACTTGATGCCTTCAATGCCAATTCAATTTCATTCTCATTTTTCAAAATTTAAATCCCTTAAAAATTATTTTGTTTTGTTCTATGCTTGTCTTTATTTAAAAATTATTGGCAATCTGAAGAAAGTTTAACTTTAAGCAGAATAGAGTATTTGAGGTATCAGAATCAATTATCAATTGGATCAAAAGATTTAAATTTGAAAATTCATGATTTTGTTCAAAATCCGTTAAATTCAAATATCCACGTGTTACAAATTTTTTTGAATTTTTATCGAATCGGTTGAGCAAATTTGAATTTATATTAACCGTTAAAAAACTTTTTCATTATTTTTGGCAAATTATAATGCAAATCTTAAAGTTTAAAGACTACGATGCATAGTGACAGCATCAATGCTTCCTTTTAGCTAAAAAATAGACTACAGAATCAAGGAATAAATTTCAAATCCATATAAAATTATTAATTAAAATAACGGTTATCTTAAATTTGAAAATTTTGTAGACAATTAAGGAACAGCCAGTTTAATCTTCAGAATGACAAACAAAGGCCTTTTTACGCATTCATCTTTGTCACTTTAACTCATAATCCCGTTAGTCTAGCAGTGCTCGTTAAGAAGAAAACATAGCAACAACTATAATAAAGGAATTGTATAGTAAAATCGCATCCAACATATAACAAAAATAGCAATAATAAAAAGTGATACTAGGTTAATATTCCCGAGTTTTGTGGACGTCGCGAATAATAAAGAAAATAAAGACGCAATTTTCTGAAATATTTCAGTATATAAAAAGATTTTAAACAAATTAATAGTGCAAAATGAAGTTCCAATATAAAGAAGAACATCCATTCGAAAAGCGTAGAGCAGAAGGTGATAAAATTAGAAAGAAGTATCCAGATAGAGTGCCTGTAAGTGTCCATAAAAACAAATTAAAATCAATAACAATTTTTTGCACAAAAGAAAAAAAGAAAAATGTCGACAAAAAAAAAGAAAAATCAATTCTTAACTGTTATTACGAAATTCGCTAATGAGTCATTCAAGGAATGATTATAACAATAATATACGACGTAAATAGATCAAAATTAAGCATAATTAAGTCAATTTTCAAGTTTTATTCTAGTCTCAATCAAGGTCAAAAAAGAACTTTAGTCTCTCTGCTTCTTTGTTTAATTAAACTTTGTTGTTTGGCATCAAAGAAAGAGCATACATAGACAATTGTATAAGCTATACATGTATTCATATGTATCTAATTTGAAACATAACATTTTGCAGGAATTTAGCTCATTTTCCTGATTTAATTCGGGTTAAATTAAGACGACATACAAAGAAGTAGTAAACAAACAGAAAAACAGTCACTCCATTATCTGATACGACGACGCAATTTGCTAGGGAAAAATATAATAATCTATCGACAGGAATTCTTTGACCGATATATTTACAGCTCAGCTGATAATTCAGGAAAGGAGTTATCAATGATGCCATAAAAATTGAGTCATACAAGTAGATCCATAAAAGTTACTTCGAGTAGCAAATCATATGATTTCACAAATACTTTTTTCCTCTTTGTGTGTTGTTTGAAAACAAGTTTCTCTGCCTGCTGATTCTTCAATAAATAAAAATAAACAAAACACGATATAAGCACGAGCGAGTGAACATGAATAAAAATTGAATTTCGTAAAAGTACTCGTAACGTGAGCAGAAAGCAAAATTAATGAGTGACGATCATATTTGATGCCAAAAAATCTTTCTAAACTATTTTTTCTTGCAAAACTAGTTCTTACTTTTTCACGATCATTATTATTATTATTTTACATTGTTGACGAATGTCATATGTCGTAATAAGTTTCAGGTTACAATTGCTGATCGCTTGATTGACTGGATTTATTGAATTCGCTTTTTAAAGCTTAATTGATTTTGTTACGAATTTAACTTTATGAATTTAAAAATCCTGGAAACCATACAAATGTTTCGAATAATTTGTACGGTTTTCAAATTTATACGAGTTCGATTTTCAAAATTCAAAAAATTTGTAAATTCTTAATTGAAACTAGAAGCGCAGTTTGTTGATAATAATCACTTTAAACATGAAGCTTTACGGAATTAAAGACTATTCATAGTCGAAACTTTTACATTCGCAATAATTATAGCGTCTCAAGGTGAATTTTCAGGTTCACAGAGAACAATGTCGTTCATATGAAGTAATATGCGTCTATAAAGTGTCTCAACCTAAAGCTTAGGGGCCGTTCACTTATTACGTTCGCATTTTAGGGGGGAGGGGGGGTTTAAAAAATTGTACCAAAATGTAACATAGGGGGGGGGGGGTGTCAATAAGAAGGGGGGGGGGGTTGAGTTGTAACATATTGTAACAAGGAGGGGGGGGGTGAAAAAAGTCGTTTTTTTGCGTAACGTAATAAGTGAACGGCCCCTTACTATATCTTTTGTTTGTTTATGGGGTTGTTCACATGTGACGGCTAATAATTTGAAGGTGGATGATATAAGAATCGTTATTGATTGACGTCATTTGCGAATGACAAACAATATATTTCTGATTTTCCTGATGTACATAGCCTGCCTGCAATGCATATAATGGCGAATATTTTTCTTTTTCATCTATTTTTAGGTGATTGTCGAAAAGGCACCAAAAGCACGTATTGGAGATCTTGACAAGAAAAAATACTTAGTTCCATCTGACTTGACTGTCGGTCAATTCTACTTCCTTATCCGTAAACGCATTCATCTACGTCCAGAAGATGCATTATTCTTTTTCGTTAATAACGTGATTCCACCAACCAGCGCAACTATGGGAAGCCTTTATCAAGAGCATCATGAAGAAGACTTTTTCTTGTACATTGCTTACTCCGATGAAAATGTTTATGGTAATTAAAAATAGCTTGACAGCCAGCAGTAAAGATTTTTTTGTTTCGTGAGGATTCAATATCCACATGAATATAAAAGATATATATATATTTAATATAATTAACTTATATGTGTGAAGAATCATTACTAGTAATTTAAAAACTGATGATACCATAATCATTATTAATCTATTAATGCTAAAGTGCAGTTCCGATAACTTCTTTAGTGTAAATAAGATTTGTTTTTCCCACACAAACTTTTCATTTTTCTTTGTGAAAACCTTCTTAGAATTAATTATGTTAATTACGAAAAAAATTGTGATTGGAAACGATTGATGAGAATGCATTTTCACGACAATTTTGAATGCCTTTTTCCAGTTCTTATTTCTCTCAATAGTAAGCTCTTAATCGTTTCAAACAAAAAAAAATTAAAAAAATTTAACAAGTCTTAAAAATAATTCATAAAAAAAAAGATTTAATTTAATTAATGAACCTGAATAAGAATGAATCGCAAGATAAACATGTTTTTCTTTTTGGTGAGTGGAATTTCAGTCTCTTGTGACTGCACATGTATTTTGTGGTAGTTAAGCATGAGTATAATGTCAAATGAATTATTATTACTATTATTATATTTGTTTTAATGATGAATGTAGCATGTATATTTACGAATAAAGGAGGTTCAATATGAGCCAATAAACTACTTTTGTCTTACTTTCTATCACTTTGTTTTCAGCTATCAGTTCTCATTTTTTGCTTTTACAGTACTAATATAAGTTTATTTACGACTTACGGTAACAATAAAGGCATACATGAGTCACTAGCATCTGCCGTGTAAGGAATAAGTAAGGCAGATAACAAGAAAATGTCATCTTCGCATTCTTAAAACAGAATCGACCTTTTCTCTTATCAATCTATAATTGAGATTTTCTAACATAATTTCTCGTGCTAAAGGTAAACGTCTTATGCTATCAACATAAATTACAGGCATATATTTGTCCTCAAATGTATGAATCTCTTTCTCTAATCGTATTCTTACTGCGAGACTCATACTTTTGTCATTCGTTCCACTTGGTTCTCGATCCTTTCCTTCTTCTAATTCTAAACTTCTTTGTAGCTCACGTAGTCTGTGAATGAGACTGTGCGATGACTCAAAATTCTCAACTGTCATTTCTCGGTTCTTTTCGATTAGTCTTACTTCTCCGTATATCTGAACTGTTGAATGCAAAAACTCTCGCGGATGAAATTCTACATGTATTTTAAGACTTATTTCTCCATCAGGCAATTGATATTCTCTACGAATAAGGATATATTTAGTCATTTGAAAGATCCAGTAAAATGATTTTTACCTGTCAACATTTGGAATTGTTAGTGACTGAATACAATCTGGACTAGCTAGATATCCAATGAGATTGCATCTTCCATAATGAACTGTAGCTGGATTGTCAGCTAAAACTATCTCTTCGATTAATAGAAACTTGTAGAAATTTATGTAGACTGGATGATTGAAATTCATTGTGGCAATTCATTAACATTTAAGTTATTGGTTTCGGTCAGTACATACTTATTTTAATAAGGCATTAAAGACTCATTTTCAAAAATCTCAAAAGGCGCTCAATTGTTGTTGCTGTTTACTAGATGTTTCCGTGCGAAAATAAACGTCTTAATTAATCGCTGATTGTTATTTATTCTGGTCATTAGAACCATAAATCAAGCCAATAATTTATTAATTGTTATAAATAGCAGCTGATTAAGGAGTAAAATAATAAATTTTGTGAATCCAAGGTCAGTGATTCTTAATTCAGTACAAACATTTTAATGTTAAATTTGATAAGAATTTAATTTAATTAAAAAATATGACTGAGGAGATGCCGACAATGTGGAAGAAGTTGGATCTAAACTGCAAGAACAAGAATATAATTCTGAGGTATGAAAAACAGTCAAATCGTTCTAGATTATACGACTTATTGCAAAATATATTTTTCAATTCCTTTAGAAATTCATCGCACGGAATTTGGCTGAGTTCGCTTCTGTTCCTGGCTTATCTTCAGACAATTATAAGAAACCCAAAGACTATACAATTTAACTATGAGCTATCAACAACAATCTTATTTGGACTAATGCTGCAATCTATTGAGATTTTCATAAGCTTTACATTCATCGAACAAATACCGTTTTGGATAAAGTTGCTGTTAAAGACAGTTCCAGCATGTACAACGTCAATATTAATTAATCAAATATTAGGACAAAACCTAATATTTAGCTTTATCACCGGTGTTGTAATAATGATTGTGTACTATTTGACGCTTATGTACATTATGAAAGCAATGCCCAGATGCTTTACATTTGGCGAAGCAACAATTGTCGCCCAAGGAATCATAATTTTCATCTACAACTGCTTCTTAATTCTGCCATTCATCGATGATGCCAAAACAATGAACGATCAACTCGACATGATTTTACAATTAGGCTTAATTGGAGTACTTTTTCTTATCCTCATAACTCACGTCATACCAATATTTCGTTCATGGTACTTATTCTATCCGCTTTTACTTTTTGTCGCATTTACATTATGTATAACGACATTGGATGGAAAGTATGCAATAACAATTCTATGGAATTTTATATTTAACGATATCGAAAGAATTATTATCGTCGGAGTCTATGTGTTGCTTTTGATTATGGCCGGTATTGCAGTATCATGGCAAATTAAAAAGAACAGAAAGAGTACAACGGCAGTGCGCAAAATATTTCATATACTCATTGTTCTAGTATACATACCTGGACTTATTTATCAATGTCATTTCCTATACATCGCTTCTGTTGTTATTTTGGCTGTTCTCATTGTTCTTGAACTTGCTCGTGTCATTAAATTATGGCCAGTCTATGAAGCACTAGAAATTAGTGTACAATCATTTATTGATGAACAAGATGCTGGAAATATTGCATTAACACCATTATACTTACTTATTGGATGCTCATTACCATTATGGATACATAACTCGCCATGTGACTTGATTGGATCAACATCATTTGAATTTCTACCATTAATTTCGGGCATCTTATCAGTTGGCATTGGAGATACATTTGCCAGTGTGATCGGAAGTAAATTCGGTAGACATAAATGGAGCAGCAACTCAATAAAATCGATTGAAGGAACTATTGCAAGCATCGTTGCTCAAGGATTATTCATATACGGCCTTTGCACGATCAACTTTTTACAATTAGATTTAAAACTAGCTGCATTGTGCGGCATTGCTGTGATATCAAATGCGCTTATTGAAACGTTCATTAATCAAGTAGATAATTTAGTACTTCCCATACTGACATATATTATTTTGATGTATAAGTAATTTAAATATGATAAAAAAGAGACTTGTTGTTATTTTTTTAAAAAATTGTGATAAAAACTTAAACTTTGTTAAACCTTGATAAGAAAATGTTTGTTTTTTCTGAAAGATACCTTTGATTTTTGCTTATCTTTATTTTGATTATTCTAGATTAAATCTTAAAACAGACACTCTGAATTCAAAAAGCTTCAAAACCATACAACAGTTTGTCAAGAATTTGTAAGGTTCGTAAACACTTTTAATCAATTTTAAACATAATGTAGTAATATACTTGCTCATTAGCTGCTGTATTGTCGAACATATTGCAACGGTCGATGGAAATTCAGTTCATTTTCATGACTTTAGTAATTTTTTGAGGAAATCTCTGGAATTCTTGCAAATTCGAATATAAGATCATATTAAAAATACTATTAGCAACAGGAAATGATCAATAACTTATAAGTGATCACCAAGATTCAGTGCATACATTAATAAATGCATAGGAACTGCAGTTGACACCTTTTAGAACAGCTTTAGAACAGAGAAGCAGTAACGACTGGAAAACATTTGAATAGTTTTAAAGGGAAAGAACTGAGAGAATCGCGAAAAAATCAGCGTTCAGCACATAGAGAACTTAAAATAATTAATTAAACTATCTCAGATATGATAAAACTATAAAGAAAAGCGACAAAAAGGTGTGTAAAGTGCTAAAATAATCGTACAAGTGTGAAAACTGTTCAAATATTGTCGATATAAAGAGCTCAAGAAAATTGGGGAGTGTGAAAAGTGAGAAAAAAAAGCCGAAAATTTTCAGAAATCCAGCTTGATTATTTAAGCACTTTTTAAAGGATTTAACCATTAGAAGTTATCTAATTAGGATTACCAATTCATTTTGGACAGGTGAGTTATGATTAAAATCGTGAAAGAGTTAACGAAAAGTTGTAGAAAAATATATGATTTTTTTTAAATGGCACTTAATAAGTGAAATAAGAAGAAGAAGAATGTTCTATATAATGTTTAAATTTGCACTAGCAAATAACTAGTTGGAAAAATATTCATTATCACGCTTTCATGATAATTACATGTAATGCGAAATATACTCTCATCTCGACACAGTCAATCCAACATTTTTATTTGTTCGTCAACTTATCTACTATAATTAACTGAATATACAGTCATACACAAGTCATACTTTTAAGGAACAAGTGTTTCCTTTCAAAACATTCAAAATTGAGTTACTTTATGAACAATAATTAAGATAGGAAAGGTCAAAAATCAAAATCATTATTGTGAATAAGCTTAATTAAGGAATCAGCCATGAACATGATTTTTCATGGGAAAATGGTGAAATGTGAAAAATGATTTTTCATACATTTGAAAGAAAAAAGCTCGTTATGCTCCAAAAAGTTTGCCTTTTCCAGATCAGATCCATGAAAAATTACTAAACTTGAATCAGTTGAAAAGCTCTCAGCTTTACTTGAACTAAATTGCTAGCCTACCTCCAATTTTAGCTTAAATTAAGCGGTTGTTAATTATTAAAATAGTTTTTGGGTTTAAAAATGGGTAGAAAATGGTAAATTAGGTGGCGAGCATAAGACGATTGAAATAAAGCATAAAACATCATTAACATGGCAACGTCGCAAAGGCTCATCGTCAAGTGAAAAAAAATTCAAAATGGCTGGTGTAGATGGACAATGTTAACATCATAAGAAAAGTGTGAAATATTGTGAAATAATTTGCATTAGCCTCATTGAAAGTTTGATAAAGTTGTAATTAAGATAGCCATAATTAAGTTTAAATTAAATTTAAACGCTAAGAGACTCAATGTAGCCAAAAAATTGATGTGTGAAAAGTCAAGTTCATGATTCGAAAGACGAAAAGAAAAATTTTAGTGAAAAGATCCGAAATAGATTAAAAGAAAAACGGGAAAAAAGAGAAAAAAATTGTGTTCAATATTTAAATTAAAATTTAAAAACCAAGAAAACATAAAAGTTTAATAAATTTAAAGAGGACCCCCCTCGACTTACAAAAAAAAAGAAGTGATTGTCGTATAAAAATTAGTAACATTTTCAATCAATCAAAAAAGAAAAAGCTCAGCCATACCCAAACTTAAAAAAAGGATACTTTTTTCATGTTACCGCAAAGGATTAAAATCGCTAGGAAATTTAATGTGAAATATAAAACAAGTGCAAAAAAGACTTTTTGTTGAAAAATATTGATTTCTCGAGCAAAACGAAACACGGCAATTGAAAGATTTTTTTACTAAAGATTAACTTCTTTTTTTGCAAGCCAGAGAGAAATCGACATTAACTTATAGTGCGAGAGACAGAAAAACTAAACCAATATATAGACACATAGAAATTTAAATTCTAAATTTGATTAGGCCATTGTCCATCAAAAATAAAAAGTATATAAACCTGAACTAAACTCATACGTTAATTAAGAATTACAATCAATCAATCTTGCATCTCAAGGAATATTATAAATATTAAATTCACACACAACAAAAAACTATTAAAAATTTTCGGTTAGTATGAAATTTCATCATTATCAATTGTCTATTCTTAATTCTAAATCATTCATGTCTGTGGATGCTGATTAGCGGCTTAATTGTACAATTCGTCCAGAGTGTCATGAGTCGAACAAATTTGATTTTATGGAAGAATATTAATAATTTTTCAATGCATGAAAATTTTCCGTGAGAAAGAAGAAAATTTTCATTAGATAGGGCGTCGTCATACAAAAAAAAATTCTTCAGATGAGATAAAATAAAATGTGTGTGTGTGTGAAGAGAAGAAAAAAGAATTGTATGAGTACGAAGCGGAATATATAGTTTCGGAAATAAGTGAAGCATTAATGCGCATGATCCATACAATTGGAGTTTTTTTTCTCCATGTTTCATTACTACTTAGCTCCAATACAATCCGAACGAACGCACTAATGTGAATAACGAGATTTTTCACTACGTGATGCTTTTATTTCTGTATTATTTGCCATCACTTTAAAGGCCATCACATGTAAACATATGATGTGTATATGAAGAAGCATGAAATTCGATTTTTTTTTTTTTCGCTGTAAATATATATATAAAGCTATTCATATTGTTTTACGGCTGCATTAAATTCTCATTTTTAAGTAAATAAGTCATTCATCATTCATGCTCAAGTATCAGATTCTTTTCTCTGTGATACCTAATAATTGATAAAAAAAAATTATATATTTCAAGTTTCTGCCTTAAATAAGAATATTCAATGGGATATCTATTATTAGACTTTTGAACGGTTTTTGCGGAAAAAAAATATACATATTAATGTTTGTATTATAATTCTGTCCTATACGATATCCAAGTTTGCTCTCATGTCTGGAAAATTCACTTCCATTAATTTAGATTTAAGGTTTACAAAAAACATGACTATTGTTTCTGTTTAATTAGTTGTATGTGCTGGATACAATGTAAATAGAAATACAGTTTTCTACAACTTCTCACTAGATCTAGACTATAGATTATGTTAACTAGCTGCAAGTTTTAATTAAGAAATTGCCGTCTTCCTCCATAAGCTCACTTGTTTTGATTGTATTCTGTCATGAGACACTACAAATGCCCAAAATATTCTCATTTTAAGTCTTTATTTTTTTTTTGTGAGAAGTGTGCAGGATCTTCTTTTTATTGCTGTGGAGTTGTTTACTGCTAAATAATGAGATTCTGAGTTTAAGGCATGAGTACAATTCTAATTTGAGGCTTTAAAGTTGTTTATTGTTGCCTTTATGACTTATGAATTGGTTTAAATCTCTAAAACTGTTTGTTTATAAAAGATACTATCTAATTGAGTAATTGTAGACTTCAAGAACTAATGATTTATAAAATTGAATCTCCTCCTTGACTAAGAAGCTAGACTATTCGAATTTTGATCAAAAATGAGATTCTAATTGCCTGAAAATATAGATCTTGACCAAAAGTATACAGCATGACTTACATTCTTCAACAACTTCCAAAAATAAGTAAATATTTCAGCCATAAATAACCAGACAATATTTCTTTCATGTCTATAAATTTTCCAAAAACACGATTAAGCAATTCAGTAGAATTTCGCATTCAATTAACACAGTTATTATGATGAGACCTGCCTTGTTTGTTTGATTTTTGGCTTAAATAATTAGCATATTTATTGGATATCGGTTGTATTTTAAGTCGTAAAAGTGTTTTTGCTGGATTTATTACCAGAATTGTGAACAATGAGATTTTTGACTCAATAGAGTTGTCTGTAAAATTGACAAATGCTCAAAGTTTGACGTCAATATGACTCAAAAGAATACAAATCAGAACTAAAAATGTTGTTTACAATTAATCACAGACATTACAGTGCTTATAATTTAAGTGAAATTGCGCTCTATAGTGATTGCTAAGCAGATTTATATAGTCACTAGTGCCAATATTAAGGCGAAAAAAAAAAATCAGGTTGTTATCGGAAATAATTGCAGTTATCATGCGACAATATATATTCATGTGCCTTATTTTTGGATGACGTCACGCAAAAGTAGTAATTAAATATTATTCGATATATGAAATTCTTATTTTTATGTCCCATATAGGCAAAAGAAATTTCCTCCTGAATGCTAATATCAAATAAGCGTGTACAAGTGCATGAACTTATTAAAATTATTTTTCGGCGCCGAATACACACACACACTTCCTTGTCCATACGTAAAATGCGGTGCTGGAATCAAAATGATTTGTGAATTAATTATTAATCGCACAAAAAGGAGAGAATTTTTCACTTCTGCACATTTTTCATTGAAAGCACAGTTGATTCTTTAAAATAATGGGGAAAATTCAAGGGAAAACTACTCGGGCTGAAGGAAAGTTTATGGAAATTTTTGTATTGATTATGAATTTATCCTTCATAAGAGTTTCTTTTGACTTTGTTTGATGTTTAGAGGAATTAAATTTATTTGAAAATGCAACAAATAGTTATTTGTGGACAAAATTGAGTTTTAACTTTAAAGCTCTTCAAATTTTGATCCTACAAGTTGGAATTGATGAAGTTTCAAAAGAAATAGTGGATTTTTAATATTAAATAACTTGTGTTTGAACTCTAATTGAATGTTATTGCTGTTTTAAATTCTTAGTTCGATCGACTAGACTCAAAACTGTATAATATGATTTTCAACACATAATTGCCAGAGAAACAAAAGTTTGGCATAGTTTAGGAATGATGCCAAGACCAAAAGAAATAATTCGTCTTTAAAGAATCATTGAATTAAGTCTAGACTTAATTTCAAATCTTGAACAAATGCGTATCTTATTGAGTTACCAGAAGAAAAAAATCATTTAGCTATTCAGATCAATTGTGATTCTTAACCTTAGTTTAAAGTTTGAAGACTCGCCAAACTCAACTCAAGTTACAACAATTCGATCTACAATTATCAATCCAAATGATTTTAACATTAGTAAATTAGATGACGTCTTTAATTGTGGTTTGTTAATTCTATACCCAGTTATTCAATTTGTAACAATTTAAGGACCAATTAAGAACCTAAATCGATTTGAATCGTTCCTTTGACTGTAATTTGTCATTCAAGAGACTTCAGCTACTGAGCAGAGACCCTTTTTGGTTACTCGAGCCGCTGAGTATTGAGTATGAGTAAAGTTTTAATCCCTGCTTTTGAGGAATATTCAATATTACTCTAAATACTGCATTGATATTCTACACATACTTCTAAAGAAGACTAGACCTAAATATTTACGATGACAAGATTAGATTGTATAAATTTCATTAGGAAGAACAAAACTAGATAACAACTCTGAAGTTTATTCCAAAAATACACAAACTCGTGCCCAAAATTCTCAGTTAATATTGATCAGTAGTTCAGTCAGTCAGATAATCGATATAATATCTTTTACTGCTCCAAAATAGAATATGAATTACAAATTATTAGGTTGATAGGTTCAAACGCAGTCTTAATAACACATATTAAGCATACATGCTGAACTTTTGATCTTTTCTCGTCTGGAGTCGAGGTTGAGTAGACTAAATCTCATCAAAACAAAACTGAGAAGGAACACAAGAAATGTTGTCTGGTGAAAGCGATCACAAATGAATTCCTAATAATGAAATCTATCCACGATGGGGTCATCAATAAATTGTTAATGTTGATAACAAGAAAGTAATATTAATGCGAAATGTTATTTTTATGTGCTTTCATCGCTCAAACTTTTTTTTTCCAATATTTTTTAATGAATATTATTTTTGTGCGATTTTTATTACACTATGAGCTACATTAAACGCTTCCTGCTGTACATTTCTCTGTTAATTCCAATGTCTTCATATGTGAATGAATACAAACTAAATGAACAAAACAAAAAAAAAATGCTGAATTGTATGTGCAAACATGAGTGTCTAATATCTTAAAATCAACTGGGAGCATCTAATGATTGACGTCATGCAATGTGTTGTCATTTACATGTTTTTCTATTGCCTTTCTTCTCATGGGAGAAGCACTGAGCGGCATTTAATTATTAATGACGACGAGAAATAACATACATACGTGCATTCAGGGTTGTATTCAGGAATGGAGGGACTCAAAATTCAAATGGCTTATAAAAATTTAAATTTTAACGGTTTTTGAGAGTTTAAAATTTATGAAAAAATATTCCAAGTCAAGTGACCTTCCTGGATACATCCCAGACATGCACATACATACATCTTTTATTCATCCATACATGCCTCTGATACATTTTATTTATTTTGAAAGATGACTAATGAAATCTGATGTTTCTCCCTCTATTTTACTTTCATATCCATCGCATTCATCCCCTTATTTACAACATACGGCTGTGTTTCTGCTATATAGGTGAAAATGAATGAATTGGACGCCTTAAGACAAGAAGCTGAAACATTAAAAAATGCTATTCGTGTAAGTGAATATTCTCATTTTATTATCGCAACACGTGTAAATAATAAATACAACACCTGCTCTATTCATTAATTGACTATTCATAATTTCCATTCCTTTTTGTCACTTCTTCGACTTTCCAAATATATAACAGGATGCACGAAAAGCAGCGTGCGACACCAGTCTGGTGCAGGCAACGAATAATTTGGAACCAATCGGCCGCATTCAGATGCGTACAAGACGCACATTGCGAGGTCATTTAGCCAAAATTTATGCTATGCACTGGGGCAGTGATTCAAGAAATTTAGTGTCAGCATCTCAAGATGGTAAATTGATTGTTTGGGATTCACACACAACAAACAAGGTATGTGCTATAACTTACGTGTTTATTTGTTTTGATTTACATTTAATTTAAGTAATGTTAATTGATTGGAAGTCACATACTTGTTACTCAATGATTTTGTACGTGATCGATTGAAGTAATGCAACCACATACATACATATATTCATTGTTCATGAGTCTTCTTTTTCCTTGAACTGCTTACTCAATTGACTAATTTTTTGCGGCTAACAGAAAGGGAAATTCTCGGCTATCCGCAATAAAAGAAAATATTAAAATCATCGATTTAAAATAACTTAATTGTTTATAGCAATAAAGACGAACGTCGATGATATAGACATGTTTTGTGCTCATGATATTACATTTTGTGAATGCTATCTGTGCGATTCTACGAATGATTTTTTCTACAAATTTGTCTCCAAATCTATATTTCTCTTTATCAGTTGCATTACACCCCATGTTTCATGTATTTAATAGTAGATTTTACCGAGATCTACATATTGTTCTCACCCAAACATATTAAAAATGGTTAATTAAAGAATTATTTACATTCTACGAAAAATTACTCTGTTTCACATGAATTTTTTCGCCCAAATTTCCAAAATGTTTTCATTAATATCTTTAAAATCAAAATCATATTTGTGGAAGCTTTAATTAAGCTGCAATTTGGATTCTACGAAAAATTTCATAAGTGAAACAGTAATTTGGAGACAATTCCAAAAAAAACTACCAAATATTAAAATTAAAACCATGAATTTCTCAAGCCATAGCTAAGTAATTTGAGTGCAGATGTAATCATAATTCACAGTTTAACCAATAGAAAAGGAAATGAGAATTAGATTTTTGAAAAACTATGCACAAGTGAAAATAAAATAAATAAAAAATTTCATGCAATTGACACGAATTATTTTCATGAAACCTTTTCGTGGAATTGGCCATCTCTAAAAAGCTCGTTAAATATCAAAATTTAAAGTTAAGCATAAAATTCAAATTTCACAAAGTCGTTAAAATTCAAATCACAAAAATCGGTTAAAATCATCAATTTTATATCGAGTCAAGAAGAACCCCAAAACTTTTCCAATACTTCCGCTAGAGAATGAAAAATCTCATGTCAAACAGATTTTTCCTATGCCTTCATATTTAACAACAATTTGTACATTAACCGCAACTTAATTTATCACATACATAAATGAGTAACAAGAAAGTGTGTATAGACTTGTCGTTCTAATACTGATGTAAAACACGAATTCGATACAACTTTGTAGGTACACGCAATACCTTTACGTAGTTCTTGGGTCATGACATGCGCGTATGCTCCATCAGGCAGTTTCGTTGCATGTGGCGGTTTGGATAATATCTGTTCAATATATAGCTTAAAGACTAGAGAAGGAAATGTGCGTGTATCACGTGAACTGCCTGGCCACACCGGCTACTTATCTTGTTGTCGATTCTTGGATGATAATCAGGTAAGACTGTCATTTTTTCAATCTTAATTATGCAACTCAAATTTAATCTTTTGGACTCAACAGATAGTAACAAGTTCTGGAGATATGTCATGCGGTTTATGGGATATCGAAACAGGCCAACAATGCACATCATTTTTGGGTCATACTGGTGATGTAATGGCATTGTCACTGTCACCGCATTGTAGAGCATTCGTTTCAGGAGCATGCGATGCTTCAGCCAAATTATGGGATATTCGGGAAGGTCAATGCAAGCAAACCTTTCCAGGTCATGAAAGTGATATTAATGCAGTTACAGTAAGTCGCTTACATTTATTTATTCCTTTATTTTTGAATAAGATAACTGATTGTTGCCTGTGTTTCTCGTCTAGTTCTTTCCCAATGGCAATGCATTTGCAACTGGCTCTGATGACGCCACTTGCCGTCTCTTTGATATCCGTGCTGATCAAGAATTGGCTATGTATTCACATGATAACATCATTTGCGGTATCACATCAGTTGCATTTTCAAAATCAGGACGTCTCTTGTTAGCAGGCTATGACGATTTCAATTGCAATGTATGGGATACAATGAAGGCCGAACGGGCTGGTAAGATCCTTAATAACTATGACAATATTGAATTGATGCTAATAATAATTGAATGTGTTTATAGGTATCTTGGCTGGTCACGATAATCGCGTATCATGTCTAGGCGTCACTGAGAATGGCATGGCTGTAGCGACAGGCTCGTGGGATTCCTTTTTACGTGTATGGAACTAATTTAATTACAAAAACAAATATGAAAAAAATCATCTTCTTTATCTCGCGCCCGTAACTCTCAAAATTATCTACCTTTTTATTTTCCTTATTAATCTGATAAGGATGCTAAAAGATATAAAAAAAAATTACACACAAATACAGACACACACACACACAAAATAAGTAACAAAGATATCAAAAAGCATGTTAAGATAAGGAAAAAAATACTTATTGCGATTAGAGCGAGAAGTGCTGTCATTTATTTGAGAATGATGGCTGAAACGGCAATGCCAATCTACTACTTATCCAAATCTACAAGAACCACAACTTTTAATGATTTATTTCCTCTTTAAAAAGTTACAAATTCTACCTTAAACCTAGGAAAATGAAACTGTTTTAACATAATGAAGAATAACAAGAACAAATGTAATGCTCCTTACATAAATTATTACCCCGATCATGCCATAATTATTTGTTTATTTGTTTATGACGACAAAGGAGAGATTTTAAATATATCAACTTCCCATAGAAAGCAGTTTAAAGTGTATAAAGTAACAATTCTAGTAGATTGTGTGAAGATTTTGAGTGAAACATTGCAACATTGCGGAGAAGTTGTTTAGTTCTTGAAAGGATTAAGTCATGCTTTTTTCGGGAGAACAGCGTTTCATTCGGGAAATTCCCTATTAGTTGGACATAACAACCATCACATTATTTTTCTAATTACAAATTTATGTTTCATTCAAAAATGCCACCAACTGAAAACCATTTGAAGTCCGCTCACTTACTGAAAACATTTACATACATACATATATCGCTTTAAATCAGATCAAGTCATTTTCCTCGCGATCGGTCGCGTATCACACACAAAAAATAAATAAAAAAATAATGAAAAACTACAAAAAAGAGAGAAAAATTCTAATTTTTTCTACTATATTATGTCAAATACATTTATAGCTTCTCTTTTTCTTCTAAATGAAATCATAAATGTGTTAAAAAAAATCATTTAATAATAAATTTAGACTTGATGAATATTTAATTATTTAAGCTTATTGCTAACCAGCAGAAAAAAATGGAAATTTTTAGCCCTATAAATGAAAGATTATAATGCACAATCCATGCGCAAAATGATGTTATTTAAATTTATTTATTTTTACGGAGACCAATCAAAAAAAGAAGTAATCGAAAAATAAACTCAAAAACACAACAAAAAAAAAAGATAGAAGATAGAAGTGAATGTCTGAGAGAAGAAGGAAGAGCATAACATATTTTTTAAAGTAAAAAATAGTATTTTGTTTAAATCTCTTTCTTGTTTATGTTTATAGAAACTATTTTTGGTTAATTTAATTAATTTTTAGTCATTATTATGTAAGAACGAACCGTAATTTTTGTAAGTTTTGAGCTGGAAATCGTTTCTGACCTTGAAAACTGTACAAATGTTTTAAAGATTCATTTTTAGATCATTTGTAAGGTTTTGAAAATTTCTCAAGGCCATATAAATTCTTGATTAATGATTGGGAACCATACAAATTCTCAAAACACAACAACAGTTTCTGGAACATTTGTAGGGTTCTTAAGAAGGTGGTTCGAATGAAGTTTGACAAGAGAGATTAGATTCCATTTTCAGCTCACAATCTATAAGAATTCAAAAACAAGGAAACATGATAGTTCTTTATTTCCTATTAAAAATACGAGAAAACAAAAAAATTAGAAGCACTGAGCGATTCTTTCAAAATGATAAAAAAAATACTGTTTTAGGTCTAACACAATTTACATTTACACGTAAAAAGAAAAAAAAAATCATAAAATTTAATCATATATACACACAAAACACGCATAAATACATTTACTAATTTTAAAGTGAACTGTCATAATAAAACCAATGTGCAAATTATTTTATGCATTAAAAGAATTGCATCTGATCGATGCTGGAAAAAAAATTTGAGATAAATAAATCGTACACACACAATCAATATGATTTTAAACTATTTCTTTTTTGTTTATTGTTTTTATTCTCTTTATTATTGTCATCATTTTACGTCCTTTTCCTAACCTTCCTTTATTTATTTTGAAAATAAAACATTCTTTCAATCAAAGATTGATACTATAACAGTATATATTCCATCAGAAAACCTCTTTTTTTTTGAAGAAATGAAGAAAAAAAATGCAATATATGTGGAAAATAAATATTCTAATTACACAAAACTTCTACATCCAAACCAACCCTCTTTATAGTTGAAAAGGATAAAAAAAAACCATTTATTAAGTGAAAAAAAGTGAAATTTAAGAATAAAAAAAAATACATACAACATGAATTATAAATGAAAATGAATAAAAAAGTTGATAAGTTTTTAGAAGATGAAGAAAAAAATGAGAAAACGAGACCAAATATGATGATTTTTTATAATTTTCTACTTAAAATGAACATAAAAATCTCTGATTAATGTTAAATGATGTCATAGAAGAAGCATCTTAGTAGATTGAGCATTTAGTTATAAAAAAATGAAGTTTAGAAAATTATAAAACTTTAAATGATGAAAAAAAAAAGTCTAATTTGGAGCGAGGGATGTCAATTCATCGATTGCAGGCTTGTCTGGCTCACAATTCAGTCAAACTCAAATGTGAGTCTTTATAGAAAATTGGTCGCAGTTGAGGATTTCATGTCCAGTCTCGCTCGAAAGAACATAAACACACATACAAAAGTAAGGAAGTAAAAGAGAAAAAAAAGTGGAAAAACACATACACAGCCATAATTTTTGTCGCTTTAATTTTCACACACCTTTCATCATGTTTAGATATGAGAGAATCACTATAGTCTATAAATGAAGCATTACATACATATTTCATTAAAAAAAATTAATTTTTTGCACTTATGCGAATGAATAAATAAGAGAAAAATCGCGATTATTATATGCATTCAAAAAATAAGTAAAAAAACATTTAAGGTAAGGAAAATTGAGCAACAATGCATTGCACAAGTTAAAAAAAATTAAGAAATGCAGCTAATTATCAGAAAAAACTGTCGTATTTAAGTTCCTGACTTCATTTTCATTTCCACAAACAGCTTACAAACTTCATTTTTTCCTTCATATGAATGTATGGAAATGTCCTATTTGAATTTTATTAAAAGGAACGAAGTCATGTTCATAAACAAAGAAAGTATTGAATAAATTGCGTGAAAAGAAATATTGGGTAGGGGAATAAAGCTTTTTATATTCACAACATGCAAGTAATGTAAGCTGTATCAAAATTTATTAAGGAATCAACACCTCTACTCATTGACTTCTTAATTGTAAAGGAATTATTTCTCAATTATGCTTGTGCTAGATTTTTGTGGGATTTGTAACGTAAACTATTTGAATTTTCAAACGGATTTTTAAAATTTCGTCTAAAACCGTACAAATGTTTATAATAAATCAAAACAATTGTAAGGTTCTAAAACCTTTTCAAATAATTTCCGTTAGAAATCCTCAAAAATCCCCGCAACTTAACATCATTAAAAACATTATTCATTGTTTAAGAATCAAATAAATTCTATTCCTTTCGTTTCCATCAGATAGTAAGGTAAACTAAAGTTTCGTCGCCAGTTATATAAAAATTATCACTACACAAAAGAAAGAAAAAAAAATACACGTACCGCTTTTCGAATTGCGCATTTTTACATTTTTTACAAATCAAAATTTCAAAAAAGGGACGTTTAAAATATTTGAAAAGTTTAATTTTTCAAAATTTTAGCAAAGCAAAAGTCAAGGTTTTCTTTTCAATTTGAATTTAAATATATAAGGACGAAATAAATGGAAGTAAGAATGATCGAAAGCTTTAGCTTATCGGAGAGAAGAATTAATTTTTTGTGATATGTGCAAATGTTCAATGCGCATGAAACCATTTAACGCAATTATTTCTTTAATTCGATCATTCCTCATTCTTTGTATTTTTATTGAATTCTAGACATGATCCCTTCTGGATCATGCTTAGATTCAATTCTTTTGACCATCGCTAAAATACAAGAATATTGTCTCAACATCCAAATGAAATTAATATAATATATTTAGATAAGAAATAACACCTTAATTAGCTAGATAACGATCGAATTAATTGGGCTCAAGAAATAATTGGATCGTGCTTTGGTTTCGGCTTTTAAACATACGTCAACATCATGAATTACTTACTCACCATTCATAATTCATATAAAATTCAATTTTTACATCCAGCAATCCACAACTAATATCAAAAACATCAAGTTCATATTGAAAAGAAGACAAGACTAGTTTGTTTGTGTGGATAAGATGTTGCACTATCCAATGCATTCCTCACATTTCATATTCGTGCTGTAATTCCGAAATTAACATCGTTTTTTATATGAAACAAATCGTGATGTCTTTGATGTTCTTTAAGTCAAAAAAATTAGAAAATTAAACAAATTGAATCAAAAAAAATACTGAATTTAAGCATGAATATGAACACATAATCGTTGTGCTGGTGCTGCAACATCTTATCAATATTGCGGATCATGAAAGAATGAAAATTATGCAAACGATGTGCAATTCTGAGTTTAAAAAACATAATAAAAAAATGTCTTTAAGGATAAAAAAATTAGCAGTTAAGTGGAATCTAAAAAGAAAAAAAGAAAAAGAAAAGGATGGTTTAAAAATTTTAAAAATATAAAAAAAAGAAAGCAAAACAAAACAAAAAATGAGAATTCTAGAAAAGTTTATCATTTTTTCTTTGGAAGTTTAGCAGTTAAGGGATATTTAAATGTATATATTACATAAAAATTATTACATAAACATGAAAAGATGAAAGAAAAATGAATGAATTAATACCTTAATAAAGAAAATCTATATATAATAAACACAAAAATGATGAATGATGGATACATAATTTGACATTACAAAAAAAAGAAAATATAAGAATCCCAAAATGCCGTAATTGGATAAATTAATTATACGCTTTCGTCAGTGAAAAAAAAAATCTGCTTTGTGAAATTTCCTCACCCTGCATTTTTGTAATAAGAAAATTGGATGAATTCTCAGAAGAAATATCTAAATTCCAACACTCTTTTTTTATGAAATGGGAGATACACACAAAATTATGTAGAAGTTGAATCCATAGACAGACAATGACATTGAGAATAAATATAGTAAACGATTTGATATGGAAGTGACATTTATTTTAACGAGATCCAAATTAAATGTTGAATAATTTTATTTGACACACACATGCATACACAGTTATATAGGCATCGAAGGACGTTTGAGGGATTTTATAACGGATTTTATTTGAATTTAGAACCATACAATTCCAAATTTAAAACGAAATAATTTGTATGGTTTTAGACGTTTTCATTTGAAACCATGCAAATTTTATTCAATCTATGATGGCTGTTGTGAGGTTTTGGAAAATTCAAATTTCAAGATTTCCGTTAGAAAAGTTCCTCAAATGCAGCTTCGAACTGATGAAATAAAATGAGAATAATTGAAACATCGCGTATGAAATGGGAAATGGCTAATTGTTCAGATTGATATAAATAATCAATTTAGGTTGAAATTGCTCAACATCCAATAACACAATTGATGATGATGATTTCCAACAAAAATTCATCATCGATATCAATTCGAATATTAGGGATGAATTTTCCAGTTATGTGTGTACATGCGAGCTAGTAATGAATTTAAAAAACAAAAAATTTAAAAACATTGGCAAAGAAAATAATAAAATAAATATAAAAAATCGTAGAAACTTTTTAGTGAGAGGAGTACATGATGAGGTATATAATGAATTCATTGCATTTATGTCGTCGTCGTCGTCGGAAGGAAAAAATCAGAATTAACACAAGATATATACATAAAATATATTTATAATAATGCTTTTTTACTATATTTATAAAAATAAATTCAAACGAAAACCAAAAAAAAAGGAAAAACTTTAAAGATCACCTTCTATGCAAAAGGATGCAGCCATCTTGATATGGATTTGTAAATTAATTCAATGACTCGTCACTTTGTCATTTTATTATCTTTTCAACATCAAATAAAAAAATGATAAAGTTCAAATTTCGCGGGAGCAATAAGCACCTCGCTTAGATATCAAAAAAAAAGCCATCACATGAATAGAATGATCCTTCATCCATCCATCGTGTCAAAAGTGACGACTCATTGGAATTAATCGTCTTCATATCGACATCGCTAGCATTTTGGTAATAAGAAAAAAACCAGTAAGCTATCCATCAGTGAATAAAAAAAAAATATTGATGAAATAATGATTAAATTTAATACATAAGAATATGTAAATTGTTTTCTGTGTTTAAAATAATTATAAAAAAACTAATAATATGACAGAAATGAAGAAAAATCACACATGAAATCTTATTTTTAAATCATTAATTTTTCAAAACAAAGAAATCTACCACAAAAAAAAATTATTATAGAAACATCAAGAAATTCCTAGACATTTAATAAAATAAATACAAATCAAATGAATGATGATTTAAAAATTTGATTTGAAAAATGAAATAAAAATAAAGAAAACAAAAGATTAATGGTCTTTTATTGTCTCCTGCATGATCTTTCAGCTATTCTTAAATGATTTTTCAGCAAACTTTCTTCTTATCGTCATTGATTACTTTTGATTTCAGATGTTCCAAGTTGTATGTTTACTTAATTCAGCTTCAGTCTTATAGTAGTCAAAACCTGACAGTTTCAATGATTTCATGAGCACATGTTTGTATTTAGGGGGGGGGGGGGGTTGTAAAATTGTAACAAAATGTAACATAGGGGGGGGGGGGGGTGTCAAGAAGTATGTAACGTTCTAACTGTCGTCTGTCTTTTAAAAAAAAGTTCACGAAAAAAATTTGAATTATGAACGTTCAGGGGGGGGGTTGTGAGTTGTAACATGTTGTAACAAGGGGTGGAGGGGGGTGAAAAAAGTCGGTTTTTTGCGTAACGTAATAAGTGAACGGCCCCTTAATAACATGAATTTTCAGCTAGAACCATACAATTTCTCAGTCAAAAGGAAACATTTGTACAGTTTTGAAAGAACGTTGAGGAATTGAGGGGTTTTATATTAGATTTTATTTGAAATTAAAGAAAAAACCATACAAATTCGCAGTTTAAGGAAACATTTGAAAGGTTTTGAACGAAATTCAAATAATAATTTTCAGGTAAATTTTGCATTTGAAATCAATAGATTTTCCAAATATCTTGTGAACATACATGAAAATAACCTCCTATTTGGTGTATAGACAAACAAAAACTTGTTAATTAATTCCTTTTATCTACTAAATTCAACAATGCTCTAGACATATCCTCTAAAGTCTCATATTCATCTCTCAGCTATTTTTTATCAAAGCTATCAAATTAAATGTCCACTACTGCAATTATTCAATGCCACATCCTTCCCACCAACTCAATATTTGACCATTCATAAATTAAATAGATTGAAAAACCTTCAATGACCTCGTAAATAAAGCATTAAGCATCAGAAAATTGAGATTTCCTTGTTAATCTAAATAGCCTATCAAAGTGATTTATAACTCGCAATTTTCGTACGCAAGGACACACTTGGAATTGTATGTAAAATGCTTCAATTTTCAATATGCTTATCTCAAGGAAGGAAGGAAGCAGACAAGCAATTTAAAGAGGTTTAATTCGAAATTTTATCTTAAGTGTATTTTTAGTCTTATCATTTTCCTGATTAAAAATTCAATCTCACGTGCTTCCAATTTCTCAGATATGTTATCAGATGTTATCGTTTAAATTGTTGCAGTCTTTGTGGAACTTTTGAGTAGAAATGTTGCTTAAAATTTTAATTGGGCTAAGTTTGGCAGTGCTTTGTGAATCACAGCTGATTGTTCAGACTCAATATGGACCAATTAGAGGTGCACAATTGAGATCAGGGTTGGATAAAGTTTATTATAGTTTCCAAAGGATCCCGTTCATGCAACCTCCAGTAAGTACACGTGCACTTTGCGTGGCAATTGAGAGTATTCGGATAATATTCAATGTTGACTGCAAAAGGGGCATTAGGAGGCATAACAACACTAGATGCCAATTTAACACTGAAAATTCACCAAATCTCATATGTTTAGGTAGGAAGACTTAGATTTCGAGATGCAGAGATCCCCAACAATTGGACAGAACCGTTAGATTGCACACAGCAAGGACCACGGTTTCCTCAAGTTGATTTCACATTTGAACCAACAAATGCTTCATTTTCTGGTGACTTGGACTCAATGCACATTAATGTCTACACGAATAATTTGAATCCACAGCAAAAGTATCCAGTAATGGGTAAGATACATAGCATAGCTTTGGAATGACTGCGAATGATTATGTTCTACAAACAACTAAGAGCTTGATCGTTCTTGACAAAACAAGGAATGTCAAGAACAGATCTAGATTTTTAAAAGATAGGGAAGAAGTTTATGCTGCCATTTCTATCAGTTCATGCCATTCAAATTGCTTAAATTGCTTTGAATCACCAAGATTCCAAAGGTTGAAAATCATTTGCAAAGTTCCAAGTTTGCACAGTATTAATACTTAGAATTAAAGCCAAATCTAATCTTTTCCTGCAGTATTTATACATGGTGGAGGATTCAGGTAATTGGATTTATGGAAGTGAAAAGAAATTGATTAGATAAGAAGTTTCATTCAATCAATAGGACTGGTTCTGGCTTAACTGATATTTACGGTAATTGAAATAGTGATTAATTTAATGATAAGATAACATGCTGATTTTGTTGTGAGTAGGTCCTGACTATTTTGTGGAAAGAAATGTTATTTTAGTGACATTTAATTATCGACTTTATGCTTTTGGATTCTTGAGTTTGGATGATCCAGAACTTAACATTCCTGGAAATGCAGGTTTTAAGGATCAAGTTTTAGCTTTAAAATGGATAAAAGATAATATTGAGAATTTTGGAGGTGATTCCAATAACATCACAATATTTGGTCAAAGCAGCGGTGGTGGATGTTCTCATTATCATATCCTGTCTCCATTATCAAAAGACTTATTCCAAAGATCAATCATCATGTCTGGCTCTGCATTTAATCCTATGTATGGAGCTATTCCAAGAAGAAATTGGGCATATCGTCTAGCAAAGCAGCTCAATGACTCAATATCTGAAAACGAAAAGGAAATCCTTGAATTTTTGGAACAAGCTGAACCAGAAGCTATTTTCAATGGTGTTAATGCAATCATGACCCCATACGTAAGTTCAATGTCAATCAAGTGACTAACTTTATTGATTGACACAATGCTTTTTATAGGAACGAAATGTCGAGAGACTTTTAAATGCTTTCGGACCAGTCATTGGTATGTGAAAAATTATTTGTATATGCTGTAGGGTATGTTCATCAGCGATGTTTTTCCTCAGTTTTCATTAATCTTGTACCTTTATGTCAGTCGAGCTTAATGCTAAGGCGTCAAATTTTTTACACACTCCCACCCATATGTGTTGTCATTAATGAACATTTCCTAACCACTTAAATAAATAATTTCCACTCAAACAGAACCGTACGATAATGGAAATGCCTTTATGCTTAGTCATCCTGAAATATTGGCTGAAAATAGTTGGGGAAATGACGTTGACATTATGATTGGTGGCACTTCCTTTGAAAATGCCCAACTCGTTAATTTATTCTTACAATTGCCATTTATGGTTGAAGCAAACTCAAATTTCACTAGCTTTGTTCCATATCAATTGGATCATTTATCAATAAGTGAGCGTCAACATTTTGGCGATAGACTAAAGGAAATGTATTATGGAATGATGAATCCTTCACCGACTAATTTTGACCCAACGATTATTGTAAGCAACATTGAGTTTCTTTTATTGTTTAATTCTGTTTTATAAATTTTAAAAATAGCTTACAAATGATTTTGCATTTTGGCATATCATCGATCGAGTAGTTATGCAAAGAATTAACTCACGTGGAACTGGACAAACCTTTGTTTACCGTTTTGATATAAATGATGCAAATAATTGCTTCCGTGCTAGACAGAGGGTAGATTCTAGGTGGCATGGACATCTTCGAGCAATTCATATGGATGATCTTTGTTATTTGTTCAAACCTAGCTTTGTGGATACATCTTTGTTGGCAGAGCATTCGCTTGATCTTATTGATCACATGGTTTGCATAGAAAAATTTACTTTTTTGTCGATTAACAACCTGGTAAATCATTTTATAGACATCATTATTCACAACTTTTGGATCAACTGGAAGACCAGTCATGGGTTCATGGAATTCATCGATTAGTTTAGAAACAACCCTTTTTGGATACAATATTCGAGAGAATCTTACGTTAGCAACGTTCAATGAACTGCCTGAAATGTCAAGAATGAAGGTTTGGAGGGAGATGTACAGAAGCAACTCTTATTTCCTTTCAATTAATGTCATTTTATTGTTAATTTCAGTAATTTTTTCAATTTTAAATTAAGATTCTAAAATAAAGCTCAACGGTTTTTGTAAATTTGAATTTGTGTAACAGTCGTTTGAAATTCAAAATTTTGAAATCGTATAAAATTATACGAAAAAATGTAAACAAAAAGAATCAGTCAAAAATTAAATTATTGTCATAAAAAAAACTTAATTAAACAGTTAATAATGGAAGAATCTGAGTCAAATGACAGCTCATCTGAAGATATGCAACTAAGGATTGCCGAGAGTCCAAAAAAGAAGCGTAAAAGAAAGGCAAGGCAGCAAATGAATTTGGATTTTGACAAATTAGATAAAACAATCGAAAGTACGATTGCAAAATGTAAAAATTTGACTAGCGAATCAGCTAAAAAGGTATTGTGTAAGCTGGTTAAGAATGATCATGTATTGGCACTAGCATTGCTGAAAGCAGAAGAAGAAAACGAACGCGAAAAAGATGATTTTTCACATGAAAGTTCCAGTGAAGATGATAAAAAATCTGACAATGAAATGGAACTGACTCCAAAGCTGACTAGATCAAAAGCTAAAGAGCTAAATCATCAACTGCCAATTCCTGGATCTTTAAAAACGCCTCAACCAAATGAGGAAGTTATAAAGCTAATTAAAGATGATTTAAAATCTGATGACGATGAAGATGAAGAATATCAGCCTGAATCCGACGGAGAAATTACGAATACAACATTTTCGGACATTGATTCACAGCCAAGTACGCCAGGAAGTGCCTTAGTCAATAACGATGAAAGTCCATCAAAAAATAGTGAATTTAAAGTTCCTAAAGTTCCTTTATCTGCTGTAAGTATAGCTAATAAGCTCAATTCATTTATTTAACTTATAATAACTTATTTAAACAGGAGGAGCAAGAAAACATCGCTAGAAGAACCAGATCCAAGTTGTGCTTGCAAACTACATCGATTGAAACAATTGAGCAAACTTTTATTCCACCAGACATCGATTTAGACATGTATGACTTTGAAATGTACGAGAATGAAGATGATTGTGAATGGAAAGAGTTTCTTAATGAATTTATGCAACCACTTCCAAAACAGTCAGAGGAAGTAGACGATGAGGCTGATCCAGAATATGTTGCGACTGAATCTATCAATTTAATTGATGATAAGGAAGAAAAGAAGCTTGGACGAGTATCTAAAAAGGAATTAAATCAATTGATTTCAGAACTAATTGAAGATTCATGTAATACAACTATTGATTCAATTGAAAGCTTATTTCCAAAAAAGTCTTATGATCCACCGTCAACTTCCAAAAATAGTAAAAAACAGTCAAAGTTCACTCCATCAAAAAAATTCCAATCTCCAAAAGTAATCTCGAAAATCGATACAGTTACTGATCTCAATACTCCGCCTCATACAGAAGATCCAGTTGAGATTAAGTCAGTAGAAAATGTTCCAAATACTCCAGTTCAAGTCTCAAAGAATCAATATTATTATTCACCAACAAATGTAAACATGCAGACACCTCAAAGACCATTACCAACTGGTTTTGTCACTCCTACAACAATCCAATCACCAAATACAACACTTACTCCGAACCTTCCTTATAGCTTTGCTCCACAAATTACGATTCAATCAACGCCTGTAGCTGCTGCTGTAATTCAGTCAAAATCAGGATCTGTCAAGTCACAAGGTTCCATAGTTAAGGCTCAAAATACATCAGTTTCTGCTATTCAGTCAAAATCAATAATTGAACAGTCACCATCAATTGCTATAGTCGACTATAGTCCAATGAAGAACTTACCATCAATCTTGGTAGTAAATCAGAATCAATTGGAAGTAAGGCCTTTATCAGATTCTAGTGGAGGCTTCAATTCGAACAGCATAATGAGTCAAGGATTTTATTACAATGGATTATATACTTTGCCTCAATTTCAATCAGTCGTCGTGCAAGTTCCAACAATTGATATTTTACAAAATGGACTGAATCTGTCGACAAGCTTCAATAGCTCATTTAATCAAAGTTTTGAAGAATGTAGGAACAGCATTGAGGCTGATAATTTGACTGATGATGTAAAGACTAAGATGAAACGAGAAAGCAGGCTGAATGTGTTTGAATATTTAAGTACAGAGGTGCCAAAGGACACCTCAATTGATCCAAACTTGAAAGGATTTACAAATGAACAGAAAATTATTTTTGAGCAGCAATTCCGCATGCATGCACAACTGTTAAGTCAAAATTACGTTCAGACTTATGCACATCCAAATTGGTGGAACTCATCTGAACCATTAAAGGATAATTTAAAAGAATTAAGGAAAGTGTGTCCAAAGAATATTAATAGTCATGTAGAAAATTGTTTAAAATTATGTCAAGACTGGGAAGCTCAACTGGCTGAAAATAACGAAAGAAATAAGAAATATATGGAGTTTCTGCATCAGGAAATCGAATTGGATGAAAAAAGCTTTCAGGAAAAGAAGCATTTTAAAGGTATCATCCATAATAGAATGTTTGAGATTATGCTTAGAAGTAAAGCTATAATTTATCCATCACTCTTACCAAAGACTCCATTTAGAGCTGTAAAATTCAATAAAGTACCTCCGATTCCATCTGAACTATCTATGATAGCATTAGGCATCGAGCATGCTTATGAGAAAATTTACAAGGAACTGAATTGTTTAAATCCAAGAAGACTGAGAGAACCAAAAATTATGAGTATCGTAAATACAATCTTAAGAATGTTTGGAAGCTTTAGATCTGAAAATGGACTTTTGAAGATAATTGAAAAATACAAACAGCATCAATTAATGAATCCAATTAAATATTATTTCATTCACAAGAGAGCTCCTGCTGTTAATCATAAAATTGAGGATGTCGATTTCGAGAATGTTCGTCCTCCGTTAGAATTGAGACGTGGAGTGCTGCCAAAAATATGGGAGGAATATAAGTTTTCAGTTTATAAGGTGAGTGGATTTATGAGGCATAGGATTAAAGTTTGAAAATTAACTGTCATAAAATATTTGAAAAATAACTGTTAAAAATTGTTTAAAAATAATTGTCAAAATTTTTGAAACCATACAAATTCTAGCAAAAAGTTGTAAGGCTCTAAATTTTATACTAGTTTCTAAAAACCGCTTAAATTCAAAAATTAAAACATTTGTATAGTTTCAACCAAAACAATACAAGTTCACTAAAAATTCAAAAAGCTGAAAAATCCGTTAAGAAGAAAACCAAAGCATGTAAAGTTTCATAAATTCCTTTACGTCCCTCCCTTCGTCACATTCATTTTCATTTCTGAATCACTTTCCCTTTGTTCTTGTTTACATCTATTTTTGTATAAATCGAAAACTTTATTTTCACGTAAATAATTCTGCAAATTTAATTTTTCTTTTGCTCAAACAGTTGGTTTTTACATCTAATAATAATGATGGAAGCAGTCATGTTGAAGTGAAATCATCAGAAGTACAAAATATTGACAAAACTAATTTAACAAATCAAAAAGTAACTGAAAATTTATTAACACCACAAAAAGTAATTTTAAATGATTCTATACAATTGGAGATAATTGATGATATTGAGCCTAAAATTAATATAATTATATTGCCACAAGAGAACGAGAATCTAGAAGAGGAAGTGAGAAAAATAAATTTATTGGAAAACACTCAAAAGCGGAGTCCATCATTAAAAAGCTGGCAAAAGTCGAACGAAGAGAAACAGCAAAACTTAACGTCAATACTGAAGAAAGTGACAAGCAACATTGAAAAGAGTCCTTCCAAAAAGAAAACTGTAAACTTTCTACTTCCAAAAGATCAACCCAATGAGATTAAATCCGTAAAATTCAGTGACAAAATTAAGGCGTCATTTAGTGCAAAGAAAAAATTTCATCACATAATTAAGGAATTCTTCTCGAACTTTACAGCAAATCTATCCAAAACAATACAAAATGAATTACATCCGTTAATACGTAAACTTTTTATACGCACGAGATCGTTTGATATCTATTGGCAGATTGTAAGTTGCAACATTATGCTATCAAAGAAGAACAACAAACATGAAAATGGAACTACCTCATCGGAAAATATTTCGAAAACCAAGAAACAAATTAGTAGTGAAGAATATTCCAAGAAGATTAATCGTAAATTGGCCGATAATCGTTCATTGATTATGCAAAATGCTAAGGATCATAATACAGTCGAGAAGGATTGCTCATATGCTTACAATTATTTACAAAAAGTACGAAAAACATTGCTGGAGAATGGCGATGATGAGTTGTATAGTCAATTTATGAAAATGTTAACAGCATTTAATCCTGTAACGGAATCAGTACCTGAATTATACTATGTAAGTCACTTAAGATTTATTTTTGGAATTTAACCGTTATTGACCTCATTTTAATCTTATATATTTCAGAAAATGGAAACTCTTTTGATGCCCAACTACTCAGATTTACTCGATTTATTTTTAACATTTCTACTACCTGAACATGCAGCCGAAATTGGAAAATTTTGTGAACATTTCATGCTTACAAACATGACAGACTTAGTTGAGAAGCTCAATCTATTCTTCCAAAAGCAACCACATCTAAAGAAAGTCTATGCCTGTATAAATGAGCTATCAAATGAGCAGGATCTCACTTTGGAGCGTTTAAAATCAAAAATTTTACCACTTTTAAAAGGTAATCAAGTACTGATTGATTGGTTTCTGGAACTTTTTGATCATCCAAGCGAGAGTGGACTAGATGAATATGAAACATTGCATGTAAAGAAGTCACTTAATGATAGTGAAGTTACGGACGATGGCTATGAGGAGATTCAGTCACAAGACTTGATAGAAAATGAAAATTGTACTTTTTCATCATGCGGCGTTAAATACATTAATGGAAAGATTATGTATCGATGTAAGGCACTACTTCCGGCTAAAATTTCATTCCTAGCAAATGATGTGATTGTGGATGAGAAGAATAATCATGAAGACTTATCGTCGTCATTTTGTGTTCACGAGATAAGAAAGCACATTCAGTATAATGATAGTAAGAAGCCTGTTGATCAAGATGAGAAGGCAAAGAAGAAAAAAATTAGTAAGAAGAAGTTTAAAGTTTGTGAATCACAAATATTACATGCTCACGCAATTAGACTTAATCAAATACATGCACAAAATGGAGAAAAATTGTCAGACATAATGAATGTATTGGAATCAAGCTGTAAAAATGGAAGCAATGAATCTCCTAAGAAACAAATTTGTAAAAGTACGAAAAGAAATGGAAATTCACCGAAAAAGGTTCTTAAATCACCATCGTCATCGTCATCGGATGTGTCTATGAACTTTTCATCTCCGTCCCCGTCTAAAACACTTCAAATTAGTCGAAAACTTAAAGCACTGACTACAGACAGCGAGGATGAACTGAATAATAAGAAAGTTAAGCTTATGGACTCGTCAAGTGACAGTGAGAAGTTACATTCATCAAATGGAAACGATATGATGGATGAGGACGAGATTATGACACCAACATCATCAAAGTCACTTGAAGACAACAGCAAAAAGTCGATAGACGTTGAAATGCTGGCATGGACAAGAGAAGAAGACAAGCTAATTCTCGAGGAAATTAAGAATGGATTCTCGAATGCTGATGAACTAATTAAAACTTTATGTGAGAAGCTTGAGAGTCGCGATGATTGTCAAATTCGTGAACGCTTTGAATTTTTATTGAATTTTGTAACTAATTTAACGAGTAGTTAAGTCGCAAAAAAGTATTAATTCTGTTATATTTAGCAATTTATTTATATCCTAAACTGGTAATTAAAATTTGATTTATTGAACTATATTTAAAATTATTAACGTTTTTTTTTGAAATTCAAAATTATGAACGGGTTTTTCAGATTCAAATTATACGACTTAGAACGGATTTTAAAAATTCAAATTATTATACGACTTAGAACGTATTTTGAGAATTTAAATTTTTTCAGCATTTTAGTCATTGTGACAATTTTTCAATTGACAAAATTACAAATTTTCAATTAATCCATTTCTACTATAATTAACCATGATTCTTGTTCCGATAGACGTGAGTAATATAAATTAGACAATAATAGAGCAATTTGAACATGAAAAAAACATTCATTATTCAATAGGTACGATGCAATTTTTGTGTCAAAACATTTTGCTGCTTAAAATGTCGAGTAAGACATGAACAGAATGTCCATCAAAATGAAATTAATGCAAAGATGCGCGAAGAATATTTAAAGAACATATGTTTCATTTGTCGCGGGGAACAATTTCCAATAAAGATTAATGAGATGCTCTCATCGGAATTAATTCAGCATATAAGCGAAGAACATTTACCATTAAAATGCGATAAATGCACAAAAGTCTTTGACAATATTAATGACTTTCAAATGATTGGAAAATGCTGCTCTAATAAGTCTTTGGAAGACAGTCCTATGCTGGAAGCTATAAGTGAAAATATGGGCGAATATGTTGAAACATCAGGAAAGCGCAAACTTGATGATAATGGAAATGAAAAAGCTTTAACGCCTTTAAGTAAGATTAATTTACGTTGGAGACGAAAGAGTAAGGAATTCTTACACAAGAGTGATGATAGTCACATTAAGATTGAGGAACCGATTCCTCAACAACAATTAAAACGACAAACTTCAACTCCATTGCAGCATACATTCGATTCTCTTTCATCTACACAATTTTCAAGCATTAATTGCATGAGTTCATCAAGCGAAACTGACATGTCACCTCCATTAATGCCACAAAAGCCTCCATCGCTTGTCATTTTATCACCAAAAAGCAAGAAGAAAAGCAATTCTCCGTTAAGCAAAAGTCGTCCAAAATTCTCCGTTCAAAATACTCCATTACGACAAGTTATGACTAAAAGCATTCAACGAGCTATGGCTACTCATGGACATTATAAATATCAATTACAGCAACGTAAAATGTCCTTTGATTCATCATCTAGCAGTAATGAACCGACAATAAGCTTGATGAAATTACAGGTAGATGCTGAAGATAGTATGGTACAGCCACTTGATTTGCGCTTATCACCAGCATTGCGTCGCAATGAAGAGAATGTTAATGAAAATGTACGGGAAGTAAAATCTGAGAATATAAGTCATGTAGCTTATGAGGAAATTCAAGTTATTTTGCGTCGCAGTGAAAGCGATTCTTCATCATTGACAAGCTACAAGTCGTGCTATTCTGATAATGGAACTCCAAAAGGCTCATCAAGCAGCATTTTGAAAAAGACAATTTCGTTTGAAAATTTTGGAAATGTTGAAAAATCGCCAGCTTATTTAGTCCCAAAATCCTTTAATAATGACGATAATGATGATGATAGTGACATCTTTTACACTCCACGAACTACGCCAATGCGACGTGTTAAATCACTCGATTCAAGTGATGTTAAGCCTCTTAAAAATCAAAATCCTTCAAGTAATATTTGGAATTTCGTGACATCAGTTATGGGAAGTTTAGTAACTGGCGTAAAAAATGAACCGAAATGTACTGAAAAGAATAATAAGAAATGGGGATTTAACTTTGACATGCCACTAAAAGCTGCTGCTAATTATTTCACTAAGCATTCAGAGTCAATCGATAAAAGTGACTCCGAAATCGATGAGGAAGAAGAAGAAATACATTCACAGAAACGTCCGCGAGCCATAGTAACAAGTCCAAATGAAGATACCGAGAATAATGTGGCTTCTGTTAAGTCACCAACATGCAAGCGTCGAAAGATTCAAGGACGTAAGCCAATCGAAAGGATGCGTCAAATATTTTAATAACTTTACTTGTTTACTTACGATAGAGGATTGGAGTGTAATTGAATGATATTTAAATAAAAACTACTTATGGATAACTTAAGTCGTATGTTTAATTTTTATTGTCTGAAATTTATAATTTTATAGTTTAAAGTGCTTGAAAACGGTACAAATGAAATATAGTCGAAAATTTATCAGATTTTTGAAATTCAAAATATTGTGGATTTGTAGTGTTTTAGTACATAAATCCAAACATTTGTACGGCTTTCAAGCATTTTGAAAAGCATATTTACAATTCCTAGCTTCCTTAATTAAAACATTAAGCTCCTGTTTAACCTTTTACACATGAATATATCCTTACAGATATATTCTCCGTAAATCAGTCGCTGCTGTGATCATATTACATTGTGGACAAAGTTTCTTAGCACCTAAAGTATGTAGCCAACATTTCTCACAGTACACATGCCAGCACATTACAGATACGACGGGAATATCAAAGTCAGGACTTAAGCAAATGAGACATTTAGGTCGATTTCTTATAGCATTTTCATATTCACGAATTTTAGCCTTTAAACTTTCAATGATTATATGCTGATTTGAGGAATCAGTAAGAGATTCTAGACAATTTGGTGATTTAATATCTATGTCCATTTTATCAATAAAACTTATTGGAGATGATGAAGTGGATACGCTATTTGCTACATTTTGGTTGTTTTCTTCGCGCTGTTCATTTGTAAAGGAAGTCGATGGCATGTCTGATGCTACTAAGTTTCGAAGTCTTTCATCCTCTCTATTTAATAAAATAATGTCCTTTTCAGTGTATTGACTTGGACCATAAGTTTGGTCATCTTCATCTATATTCACAAGTTCATCCTCATTTTCATTGGACCTGCTTATACAAGTTCCAATGCCTGACGATGACAAACTTCCTTCAATTAATGTTGTTGCACGAACTCTTGTCTGTCCACACCAATTGTATGTCTCGCCAACATCAATCTCGTCACTGTCAGACTCATCAGAATTCGATCGATTGTCTTGCTTCCTTAGGCATGAATCTACATGGCTCTGTAAGTCTTCATTAAGGATGATTTTGAAGCATATAGGACATGCTCGATCTTCTACTTTTCTTTTTCTGTTTTTTAACTTTATGAGAGATTTATTAGTTCCAGTGGATTAATATAGCTTAATTAACTTACTTTTGACGTTCTTCGTACTCGATTTTCCTTAATTTTTTGAAATGTACCCCAACAGTTTTCACCAGTGTCATTTTTACTTGAACATCCACTATTCTCATCATCCTTACTGTCTTTTTGCTTTGTGGATGTCGATGGACTGGCTTGAGGACTTGGATTCTTGTTAATTATCTTTTTAATCTTGCCCAATTTTTCCAATTCATTTCGGTAATGCGATTCCAGCTCATTCTCTCTTATTGTGATACCACAAACTGGACATATCGATGAGTCAAATGTCGTCTTTTTCCTCAATCTTTTCTCCTCTACAAAATTCTCCATAGTTTAATTAAAATTAATTTTTTTGTTAAAACCAGTAAAATTTATCAATATCTTTTTTGTTATTGTTTTCCATTTGAAATTTGAAAACTTTTAAACGGATATTTCAAAATCATTTTTCATAAAATTCTCAGAGATCATTAGTATTTACCTAATAATTCGCAAACTCTAATGTGTTAAACTATATGCGGATCATAAAACAATAGTTTATGAAGTTAAAAATTGTAGAAATAGTATAAAATGCTGCAATGTCATAACGGTAAATTACATTTTAAAAGTAGAGCCTCAAGAATCCGGATTAAAATAAATTCGTTATTTCAAAGAAGAAAAAAACTTTAAGCATAACAAAGTCAATTTAATTAAGATTTACGTATCATATCGTTTAAAAGTTGACATAAATTGAAGCATTAATTATCACTTTACTGTAATATAAGTAAGTAGGCATCAATTTAAAGCGATAAAGCTATTAAAAATTGAATTTTCCATTTAACCTCTAAATATTGACAATAAAAAATCTTTAAACAGCTAAACAAACAGCAAAAATGGCAAAAGGCAGACCAAAAAGCAACAAGGAAACTATAGTTGCTGAAAAGAAGGACGTAGCTGTTGATTCTGATGCACCACCAGCCAAGAAAGCACGTCAATCGAGAATTATTTCATTGCCAATTCCAGAATTGCCAAAAAAGAGCGGCAATATATTAAGTTGTGGTCAAAATGATGTTGGACAACTTGGATTCAATCCTGATGATGTTCCCGAAAAAGCTCGTCCTGCTCTCGTTACTGACATTAAGGATATTGTTGATTTACAAGCCGGCGGTATGCATAGTTTATGTCTTACAAAAAGTGGCGAAATTTGGTCATTTGGATGTAATGATGAAGGTGCATTAGGTCGTGATACATCCGAGGAAGGGTCTGAAATGAAACCAGCTAAAATTGACTTACCAAAGAAGGCTGTACGCATCTCTTGCGGAGATTCACATTCAGCTTGTCTTTTGGATGATGGAAAAGTATTTGCCTGGGGATCTTTTAGAGATGCTCACGGTTCAATGGGTTTAACGATCGAAGGAAAGAAGCAGTTACCAATTCAAGTATTGTCAGATATTAAGGCTGTTAATATTGCATCCGGAAGTGATCATTTTGTTGTTCTAGCTACAAATGGGCATGTTTATACAATTGGATGCGGTGAACAAGGACAATTAGGACGAGCATCAATGAGAACATTAACAGGCGAATCACGACGTGGAACTAAAACTTTATTAACACCTGGAATTATTACAAAGAAAGCCAAGAATTTTGTTGCAAATGGAATTTGGGCTACGCCATATTGTACATTCTTACGTGACGCATCCACAAATGATGTTTATGGATTCGGTCTCAACAATTACAATCAGATTTGTGTAAAGAAAGGAAAGAATGAATTTGAGCATTATCCAGTCCTAACAACGATCCAAAATGTAAAACAAATTGCTGGTGGACAACATCACACAATCGTTCTTACAAATGATTATCAAGTCTTTTCTATCGGGCGTAAGGAATATGGTCGATTAGGATTAGGTGAAGTAGCTGATGACGTTACTGAATTGTCACCAATTGAGTCATTAAATGATAAGAAAATCATTTCAATTTCCTGCGGAGCTGAAAATAATTTCGGACTTTCGATTGACGGAAAAGTATACGTTTGGGGAAGTGGCACAAATTCAGCATTAGGAACAGGCGATGAGGATGATGTTGTATCACCAAAACTTCTCGTTAGCGCACAAGTTAAGGAAAAGAATATCCTGACAATGAGCGGTGGAGGACAACATTCCTTATTCCTTGTTGAAGTTCCATCCACAGAGACAGAAGAAATTGCCAAGAAAGAACCAGTCAAAGCTACAAAGAGTAACAAGAAGGAAACTGCAAAGAATAAGAAGGAAGAGTCAAAGGAACCACAAGAAGCTCCAAAGGATACAAATGGACCGACCGAGATGGAAGTCGTAGCTGAAACTCCATCGACTGATGTTAATGGAAATTCAGAAAAGGATAAAGACGAAAAGACTGATACAGCCTCAAATGCTGATGAGAAGACAGCAAAACGTGGTCGTAAACGTAAAGCTTAGAACTAGAAACAAAATGATCATTCTTTTTACTTAGCTTAATTCAAGTATACTTTTTCAAAAAAAACACACGATTCATAGTTTTTAGACATTAACCATTAAAAGTTAAGGAAACGAAAACGAAAAAAAAACGCATCATTAAATTTTTAATAATTCTATTTTTTCTGCTATTTTTCTATTAAATGTTCTAAAATTATCCTTTTCTAAGGATCCTTAATACTACTAAATTCGTCAATTTCATTAATTATTACGTATTTTTGTTAAGTAACGAAGAAATCAGAGTTTGAAAGTGCCATAATTGAATGACACACACAAGATTAAATGAAAGGTTTTTTTTAAGGTTCTTCGTTATTCGCATTTAAAAAATTACTCACTATTATTATTATTACTTTCTCTTTTTTCTTTACTTTTGAATATAGTTCAATTGGTTTTGTTACATTACCCAGAAAAAAAAACTATTAAGTTTGAATAAAAATGTTTGTTTTTTGGCTTTTTCGAACTTGTACTTTGGAATATTTTTGAATTTAAACACTAGACATTTATGATATTTTCAGATAAAGGCAGCAGAATACTGCTTTTGGGGTTTCTTTGGACATGCTTGGAGCTAATACTTTACTTAATGACTAGACTTTAAATTTTTCGCTATGAAGTTGAAATTCAAAAAGTCCGTTGAAAATTTGAATTTGTAAGGCTTTGAAAGAATTTGTAAGGGTTTGTTAAATTTAAAAAACATTTATAAGATTTAGACGAATTTTAAAACATTTATAGGGTTTTGGAATTCAAAATCATGACAAAACAAAACATTTGTATGGTTTTTGACGCCATTCTTTTCGATAGTCAGAACCTTACAACTTCGTTTTTAAAACCATACAAATTCTACTTTTTTTTCAAAAATTCCGTTAACTTTTCTGTTCATATTGTTAATAATTCGATGCTGCAATTTTGGATGCCTTGATTCAGTTCTGAATTCACCAACGACCCCTCTGCATAATTCTCAAAATTTTCTTCATTTATCAATCCTCATCAAAATTGCAACACCTCAATAGGCATTAAATTTAGTCTTTAAACAGCTGTTCCTCAATAAACAGCCTCAACATTATATTTGTTACTCATATGCTGTTTTCTGATATGTGAATTCATATTATATTTCTCCCCAAATTTCCGTCCACAATAGATACACGTGTGCTTCTTTTCTTTTGTATGTCTTGCACGAATATGCCGCTGCAGATGTGTCGAATTGAATGCCTTAAAGTCACACAATTTGCAAGGATATTCTCGGATATTGTTATGTATTTTAAGATGCTGCGTGTAGGACAACTTGTATAAAAATATTTTCCCACAGAAGCAATTGAATTTTTCGTCAGGCTGGTTCTCATCATTAGGACTTGACATTTGATAGTTCTGCTTCTCATGATCAGCTTTGTGAATGAGAAAATTGTTGAAATTTTTAATTTCAATTTTACATTCATTGCAGTAAAATTTCCTGTGTTTCTTCTGTGTCTCCATGTCATCCTCGTTAGCACCAAAAACCCTCTGGAATACTGAATAGTCATACTTGATTCCTTTCTCTTCAATTATTTTCTTAAAATCATCCGACAATTCATCAGTCTTTGATTCTTCAATATTGGCACTTTCTGTGATTATTTCAAACTCAATTGGCTTGAATGTGAAGTCAACATTGTCTAGTTCCATTGACTGTATCTCATTAAAATGCCCATTAGCTTCATATAATCCTATAAGCTCATTTTTAACGCTATTTGCTTTTGTCTGCAACTCATCAAACATTTTAATTCTTTCTTGACATTCAGCACAGATTTTGAACATGAAGAAATTTTCATCAAACAAGCTATGACTGAATATTGAACCTGAAAATGCTTTATATTAATTATGCTGCATATTTTGAGCCTAAAATTCCTCACTAATTATCTCGTAAAGAGATTTTCCAGATAAACTAGTAAAATTTGAATCTCCAGTGGATAAAATCAGTTCCTTGCAGATAAAGCACAGCTCACGTCCACAATTAAGCGCAGAAAATTCATTCATTTTGCAAATAAATTAAAAATATGAAATTAAATACTAAAAAAAGAACTGAAATAATTGGAAATGGAAGGTATGTACTTGAAATTTGTATTATTTCCTTCTTCTTCTTCTTCGTTCCTTTATCCCTATTTTCGCAACCCCTTTCATGTGCGAATTTTAAATTCTGCGCAATTGTTAAATCCTACTTTTTTTGCAATATTTATTGAAATAAAACCCTAAAATTAATTACAGCATCAATAATTCTATTCTATAAGTTCCTTTACATCCTCATTGATGCTCTCGTACTCTTCCTTAACTTCATATTTATTATAATCAAAATCTTCTTCAATTTCTTCATGCTGGAATGCTCGTTTCTTTTCATGGACATTTCGAACATGTGCGATGACATTGTAGCTGTACAGGAACTTCTTTCCGCATATTCCACATTCGTAGTCTCGGATTCCTGTGTGAGATTTCATGTGTCTTCTGAGTTTGGCTTTTGTGTGTACTCGGAAACCGCAGACTAGAATAATACCAAAGGTTAATCGTTAGCTGAGTTATGTAATTGAATCCTTAATTCCATTTATTAATTTTTAAAATACTAACGGTTCAAAAATATTTGAAGTTTCCGTTAAATTTTTGAATATTTTGGAATTGTAAGGTTTTAACAAATTTTATTTGAAATTTAAAACCATATAAATGTTTTACAAACATTTGTACTGTTTTCATAGGGCAATTCTTTGGATGACTTTTGGAAAATTTTCAGACAAAAATCGAAATTTTATTGATTTTTCCCATCAGAGACACTGATTTTTTGATTCTTATCGATGTAAAAATCTAAAATGAACACTACTTTTGATATCATGCACTTCTAATCGCTATATTAATTAAGTTATTTGGATTCTTCAGACAATAACTCGATGACAGAAATCGGAATTTTCAATTTTCATCATCCGAAGAATCGAAAATTAGAGAAAACTATTGATATCCACATTGAATAACTTTTACTGAGTTATAGATCAGGCAAAAATCTTTAATTGAGTTGCTTTTTCATATGCTGTAAATCATTAATTATTGAAATATTTCAATTCTTTGAAAAATTTCCTTGTGTCATCGAGTTATAAAAAAGCTTTTTTTTGTCTTCATCCGTGAAAAAATACAAAATTTTCAAACATATTTTTTCAATTTTTCACTTAATTTGGGTGAGTTGTAACATTTCAATAGATCACTTGTAAAGATTTAATTATGCTTAATGATCTACAAAAATTCAGGCTGATTATTCCTTCGTAGTAATATGAAATTAAAGAAAACATTTTATTGACACAAAACTCATTGACATTGGATTATGAAAGCTCATTTTTTTCAAATTCCACTCATCCAAAGAATTGCCCCATAGAACTAGATTTTATATAAAAACAAAATACAATAATTTGGCACTTACTTCCACATTCTTCACTTCTGACATCACTATGAGATAGCATGTGCATTTTAAGGACACTCTTAGTGCCAAATGAAGCTCCACAAATTGTGCACTGCGATAAAAAGGATAGAATAAAATCAATAAATCAAGAATAAAGGCACAGTTATTTACATTAAAGTCTCTCCTATTCATATGCACAATTTCTATGTGCTTCTTGAGCTGCACTTTTTGCGTATATTTCTTCTCGCATTGATCACATCCATACAATATTCTCTCGGCAAGATGAGTCCGTTTGTGATTCCTTAAGCAGTTCATTGTCTTGAATCCTTTCCCGCACTGCTGACAAATAACATTTCGCTGATCTGTATGAATTTCTCGATGCAGCTTTAACTTTGTCTTGTCTTTGAATATTTTGTCACATATGTCACATTGAAATGCTCGCTGATTGTTGTCAAGACTTATCATTTTATATCCACTTTCTTCAATTTTGATGCTTTTAGTCGGCGAATAGATATATTCGGACTTAATTGGCTTGTATCGAATGGAACTATCATCAACAACAACTTCCAGTTGATAATCTTCTTGTCCATTATAGTCAGATGGATCAATGATTTCTTCTTCATATTCTTCCTGATTCGAAACAATTGCTCCTTCTATATCCTCAGATTCGTAATAAATTTCATCGTCTGGTTCATATTCTATTGGGTCATCCTCAATGCTCTCTTGTTTTATTTGCTTTTCCTCATTATCTGACATCTCTAAAAGCATAACTTTGTTCTCTATTAGTCCAATTATGTCCAACTGGATCTTTTCAGCTTTTGAGATGAATTCATCGTATTCATTAAACTTAACCAGGCAATTCTGACAAATTCCAGTTCCATAGATAAGTTCTTCACCTAATTCTATTTCAGCAAATTGTTCTGAAAAGAATGTTCCTTATTAATTAAACTTTAAATTATAAATTTTTGTGAAATTCCTTACCAATTAGTTTAAAAATTGGCTTCTCTGAGTAACTCGTCACCACTGTTAGTTCCGATTTAAAATATCCCATAAGTTCATTGCATATAAAGCAATTATCTGAATAAATTAGCTTTTCCATGCTTAAAAATGCTTTATTTAACTTATTTTACAATTCAATTTTCTTGTGTTTACACTTGACAGTCTGACAAATAAAAACAAAACAAAAATAATTCAAAAAAGCAGCTAAAACTTCCAATTTCAGATATCCGTTAAATTATTTTATTGATTTTCTGAGATTTTACAATTAATAACAAGAAACTTTTTATCTACCTAGCCTAGATGTTTTTGAGTTGCTTAATAATTCAGTTTAAAGTCAACAAATCGATTTGTCAATTCGACAAAATTCAATTCCTGTTAATGCAGAAATAACTGTCAAAATAAATTCAAAATTATTCAGTAAAATTTGTAAACAAGCCAAAAGCTGCACAAAAATTTAAAATTTTTTGAATTCAATTTAATTAAATATATAGGATGGAGAAGCTCGAAAAGCTAATTGATCCAGATAATTGCATGGTCTGCGGGATACTTATGGGTTGCTACAAGAATTCTCTAACAGTAGTGACTAGTTATACTCAAAAGCCGATATTTCAACTTATTGGTGAGTTTTTAATAGTTTCTGGATCTTTGTACCTTATCATTAATGCTTATTTCACTTTCAGAGGAATTTACAAATACACATTTCTCAGAGGATATAGTCAATGAAGGCGGTGTATGCGATTCATGCATAGAGAAGTTTTATGAATATGATCAATATCAAAATTTGGCTCAAAAGATACAGGAAGAAATTGTCAGCCTCTTTGACTCCTCAGTCAGTGAAAATGATGATCAGCAAGGAGATTTAAATGATCAAGAAGTGAAATCAGAATTGATTGAGGATGATGAGATAGTTTATGATAATATTGAGGATGTAAAAGCGACTGAATTACTTTTAGCGGAAGCGATGATAGAAACTGCTAATGACAATCAGTCAGTCGAAGTAGATCTAGTTGAGGTTGACTTCCTTGACAATACAAAATTACCTAGAGAGTTTCAAAGTCCTGAAGATAAGCATAAAGTTATCAAATCAAAGTTCATTAAATCTGAAGGAGACGATTCGGTGATTGTCGTTCAGTTGGACAATAATGCTAAGCTGTTTCAGGTATGCTGCCTACTTTATATGATTATTGGGTATTCTTTTAACATTTATTATCATCCAGTGCGAGATTTGTGAGCGAACATTCAAGGAAAAGTCTAAACTCAAGTCACATCGACAGATACATACAACTGAACGGAACTTTGTCTGTCCTGTAAGAAAATAATCATTGCTAGATGCAGGAAAAAAGCTCAATAACTAATTTTTATTTAATCTATTTATTATAGACTTGCAATAAGGCTTTCAAAACACAAGCATGCTTGCGATCGCATAGACGAGTCCATAATCCAGTCACGATTGAGTGTGACTATTGTGGAAAGCTGTATACACAAAAACCTGAATTAATTAAGCACATCAATTTTGTACATTTTAATAGACGTGATTATCACTGTGAAATTTGCAACGCCTCATTTGGATGTAAAGGACATTTAAAGGCTCACTATTTAACGCATCAGCAGTTTAGAGGAATTTCATGTGAAGTGAGTCGATTTGTTATTATTTATGCTGTTTAAAACCTTACTAATATTATTTTCACATCCAAAATGATTCACAGGTCTGTGGTTATTCATTCCATACACGAGCTAAGCTACAAAGACATATGAAATCACATAGTGGTGTTCGAGATTATGAGGTAAGCATTTTGCGGTCTCGGTTAATTTTAATGTTTAACGGTTGTTGAATTTTTGAATTTTATGCTATAAATTGTGCGGGAGTAATTCAAATTTTTTAAAAAACTGTTAAATTTCTTTAAATGAATCTTAATTTCATCTATTAATCACTATCTATTCTAAAATCCATTAACACAGTGCGGGATATGCCATAAAAGATTCCTCTATTCCTACAACGTAAGTGCTCACATCAGACATGTTCATTGGAAAGAAAAGAGAAAAGTTGATGAGTCATCAAGGACGTGCAGTGTCTGTTCAAAGAAATTCCAAAAGATTTGGAAGCTACGCGAGCATCTACAAGTTGAGCATCAACTGATTGAGACCGAAATTATTGATGAATGTGAAATATTGGAGGATGGCGAGACAATTGAAATGGAAGAACTTGTGGAAGCATAAAAAATGAAGTTTATTATGTCAAAATATATTGTTTGTTAAGTAAAGAATAAAAGGCAAAGAATAAGCAGACGAAAAAGAAATTCAAAATGTTCGTCCACAAATATTTACTCTCACAGTTAGTGTAAAATTTTTATTTAATCTGTCTTATCAGTTTTGAAAAAGTCTGGCATTGAAAAAAAAGAGAATTTTATTTAGAAGAAACAAATGTTGTACAACAAATAGCTGAAAGGTTTCAAAGCAGTGGTGAAAGGTCAGTGGAACTTTTTTCAACCAATTTTACTCACTCATGTTTGTTATTTTCTGAATATGCCTAAAATGTCATGTCATCCTGAGAAATGGGAGATTCTCGAAGATGCTGTAATGCTATAAATCTTATTTAATAGATTTGACACAAAGATATGTATTATTTATCAGTTATAGAACTTGAGGGACTGTGATGAAATTCGAACCACTTTTAAAGACACGAGTTTGTCAGATAAACCAAATACAACCTGTCAATGTAGTAAGAAAGTCATCTAGATGCAAGTTTAACCTTGTAAACAGGCATGTAGTCAAAAGGATCCACAGAATCCTCCTACAAATTGAGCTACGTGACTAAATCGATAAAACAGCAACAAGCCTCCATCTTAACATATCCTTGTTTTAACACAATAATCTTAATACGTAAGCCACGAATATTATAAGTCATTTCACGATCAACCATGAATTTTTAGGCTAGAACTGACCTGGCTCATTTGAAAATGTCTTAATTGTGTAAAGCACCAGTTACTTTTTTTGTTTACAGACCTTTAATTAAATGTAAGCTACTAAAGTTATTGATTTGAAATAGAAGCTTTATAGTTTCGTGAGTAGTGAATTTAAAATAAAAGTTTAAAACCTATTAGGGCCCGTTCACTTATTACGTTACGCAAAAAAACGACTTTTTTCACCCCCCCCCTTCCCTTGTTACAATATGTTACAACTCAGGTACCCCCCCCCTGAACGTTCATAATTTATTTATAATTAAAAAGATGGAAAATTTAAAAAAATGTTTTTGGTGTGAATCTATACACATATAACGTTACATACTTCTTGACACCCCCCCCCCCCCAATGTTACATTTTGTTACAATTTTTCAAACCCCCCCTAAAATGCGAACGTAATAAGTGAACGGCCCCTTATACATTTGACTCAAAAATGTTCTTTAGAATAACTCTAATTTCATTATAATTCAAGAAAATTACAAATAAAACCAGTTTTCAATAGCATTTCATGACTCAAAGTATTATAGAACTTTCACAATATTTTCTTTTTTTTTTTCAACTACAAACAATAGAACAATGTTCAAAACATACGATTATATAATTAGTAGCTCATTTTTTTCTGAATGTTCGTGACTTATTTTTTGTGGCTTATGATTTTTGTAAGTCAAGTCACGATGACATTTATCCTTGATTATTATTTATGAATGGAGATCTCCCTATAACTGCCATATGTATACACTAATGTAAATCTAATCGAGTTCGATGGGAATCGAACCCACGACCTCAAAAGAGGTGATCTCTGACTACTCGATCAGAGATTCCTGCCATTCGACCAACGAGATACTTATCTCCTTCGACTATCCGTTATACACATATAACCAGTTTCAACGCGAGCACTATGTTCAGGTCTATCTACTACAGATATGCTCTTCGAGCCTTATCCACATCTTCCCCTTTAGAAGAGTTTTGACCAATTCTATATTCCAAATATGATTGAATTGACTAGTTTCAAAAGCCTTCAAGTCTCTTAAAAGTAATAAGCTAATCTACACAACAATAGCTATTTTCCTCTAATTTCACCATTTCTACAAATATTTCTGCTGTAGCTCCTTTCCAATACCTCAATCTAAAAATCCCAAAAATGCAGCTCCCCTATTATGCAGATGGTACTGCTAAAGTGCAGATGAAATTTATTTTCCCTAAAATGCAGATGAAATGCTGTTGCTTTAAAAAAGGTATAATGCAGATGATTTTTATCGTATAAAGTGCAGATAAGATGCTGCCCAAATTATACGATCTACATTTGGGCAGCATATTATCTGCACTTTATACGATAAAAATCATCTGCATTATACCTTCTTAAATCAATCACAACAAAAGCTATTTTCCTCCAATTTCACCATTTCTACAAATATTTCTCCTGTAGCTCCTTTCGAATACCTCAATCTAAAAATCCCAAAAATGTAGCTCCCCTAATATGCAGATGGTACTGCTAAAGTGCAGATGAAATTTATTTTCCCTAAAATTCAGATGAAATGCTGTTGCTTTAAAAAAGGTATAATGCAGATGATTTTTATCGTATAAAGTGCAGATAAGATGCTGCCCAAATTATACGATCTACATTTGGGCAGCATATTATCTGCACTTTATACGATAAAAATCATCTGCATTATAACTTCTTAAATCAATCACAACAAAAGCTATTTTCCTCCAATTTCACCATTTCTACAAATATTTCTCCTGTAGCTCCTTTCCAATACCTCAATCTAAAAATCCCAAAAATGCAGCTCCCCTAATATGCAGATGGTACTGCTAAAGTGCAGATGAAATTTATTTTCCCTAAAATGCAGATGAAATGCTGTTGCTTTAAAAAAGGTATAATGCAGATGATTTTTATCGTATAAAGTGCAGATAAGATGCTGCCCAAATTATACGATCTACATTTGGGCAGCATATTATCTGCACTTTATACGATAAAAATCATCTGCATTATACCTTCTTAAATCAATCACAACAATAGCTATTTTCCTCCAATTTCACCATTTCTACAAATATTTCTCCTGTAGCTCCTTTCCAATACCTCAATCTAAAAATCCCAAAAATGCAACTCCCCTAATATGCAGATGGTACTGCTAAAGTGCAGATGAAATTTATTTTCCCTAAAATGCAGATGAAATGCTGTTGCTTTAAAAAAGGTATAATGCAGATGATTTTTATCGTATAAAGTGCAGATAAGATGCTGCCCAAATTATACGATCTACATTTGGGCAGCATATTATCTGCACTTTATACGATAAAAATCATCTGCATTATACCTTCTTAAATCAATCACAACAATAGCTATTTTCCTCCAATTTCACCATTTCTTCAAATATTTCTCCTGTAGCTCCTTTCCAATACCTCAATCTAAAAATCCCAAAAATGCAGCTCCCCTATTATGCAGATGGTACTGCTAAAGTGCAGATGAAATTTATTTTCCCTAAAATGCAGATGAAATGCTGTTGCTTTAAAAAAGGTATAATGCAGATGATTTTTATCATACCAATTGCAGATAAGATGCTGCCCAAATTATACGATCTACATTTGGGCAGCATATTATCTGCATTTTCTACGGTAAAAATCATCTGCATTATACCTTCTTAAATCAATCACAACAATAGCTATTTTCCTCCAATTTCACCATTTCTACAAATATTTCTCCTGTAGCTCCTTTCCAATCACCTCAATCTAGAAATCCTTAAAATGAAGCTACCCTAAAATGCAGATAGTACTGCCAAGATGCAGATGGTACTGCTAAAGTGCAGATGAAATTTATTTTCCCTAAAATGCAGATAAAATGCTGTTGCTTTAAAAAAGGTATAATGCAGATGATTTTTATCGTATAAAGTGCAGATAAGATGCTGCCCAAATTATACGATCTACATTTGGGCAGCATATTATCTGCACTTTATACGATAAAAATCATCTGCATTATACCTTCTTAAATCAATCACAACAAAAGCTATTTTCCTCCAATTTCACCATTTCTACAAATATTTCTCCTGTAGCTCCTTTCCAATACCTCAATCTAAAAATCCCAAAAATGTAGCTCCCCTAATATGCAGATGGTACTGCTAAAGTGCAGATGAAATTTATTTTCCCTAAAATGCAGATGAAATGCTGTTGCTTTAAAAAAGGTATAATGCAGATGATTTTTATCGTATAAAGTGCAGATAAGATGCTGCCCAAATTATACGATCTACATTTGGGCAGCATATTATCTGCACTTTATACGATAAAAATCATCTGCATTATAACTTCTTAAATCAATCACAACAAAAGCTATTTTCCTCCAATTTCACCATTTCTACAAATATTTCTCCTGTAGCTCCTTTCCAATACCTCAATCTAAAAATCCCAAAAATGCAGCTCCCCTAATATGCAGATGGTACTGCTAAAGTGCAGATGAAATTTATTTTCCCTAAAATGCAGATGAAATGCTGTTGCTTTAAAAAAGGTATAATGCAGATGATTTTTATCATACCAATTGCAGATAAGATGCTGCCCAAATTATACGATCTACATTTGGGCAGCATATTATCTGCATTTTCTACGGTAAAAATCATCTGCATCATACCTTCTTAAATCAATCACAACAATAGCTATTTTCCTCCAATTTCACAATTTCTACAAATATTTCTCCTGTAGCTCCTTTCCAATCACCTCAATCTAGAAATCCTTAAAATGAAGCTACCCTAAAATGCAGATAGTACTGCCAAGATGCAGATGGTACTGCTAAAGTGCAGATGAAATTTATTTTCCCTAAAATGCAGATGAAATGCTGTTGCTTTAAAAAAGGTATAATGCAGATGATTTTTATCGTATAAAGTGCAGATAAGATGCTGCCCAAATTATACGATCTACATTTGGGCAGCATATTATCTGCACTTTATACGATAAAAATCATCTGCATTATACCTTCTTAAATCAATCACAACAATAGCTATTTTCCTCCAATTTCACCATTTCTACAAATATTTCTCCTGTAGCTCCTTTCCAATACCTCAATCTAAAAATCCCAAAAATGCAGCTCCCCTAATATGCAGATGGTACTGCTAAAGTGCAGATGAAATTTATTTTCCCTAAAATGCAGATGAAATGCTGTTGCTTTAAAAAAGGTATAATGCAGATGATTTTTATCGTATAAAGTGCAGATAAGATGCTGCCCAAATTATACGATCTACATTTGGGCAGCATATTATCTGCACTTTATACGATAAAAATCATCTGCATTATACCTTCTTAAATCAATCACAACAATAGCTATTTTCCTCCAATTTCACCATTTCTTCAAATATTTCTCCTGTAGCTCCTTTCCAATACCTCAATCTA